TATATTCACACCGTATTTATGTGTGAATGTATTGTTCAGAATTAAAATTAATTTTTCGGATTTTATGTCGAAATTAGCAGCATAGTTAAAAATGTTTTAAAAGAAGATTTTATTTAATTTGATCTTATTTCGTTTAAACTAGTGTGAATTACTAATCAAATGCTGTATTTTTTATTAGATGATTGAAGGCAAAGATATTGCCAAAGGTGAGATTTCCAGATTGAAGAATCAAAATTCGTTTGAAAATTAAAAACTAACCCAAAATTTATCACAACAAAGATCTAGAGAGAAACTAATTTTGAATTTTTGATTTAAAAAATGGACCCCCACCGTTTTAAAAATTCTAGCTAGGTTATGGTAGCTAAACATGTCTCATTATTATCACAAATCTGATTACCAAGGTTTGTAAATTATTGTGCAATGACGTATATCAGGCGGGTAGCCAGGAGGGTATTGTCCCCCTCTTAAGATTTTTAGGCCGTGCTCTTGCTGCGGTTTAAAACGTTAAAGGAGGGACAATACCCTTCTGGCTACGCGCCTGGTGTGTATAGAGTGCATGGGCGTAGTCAGAAAATTTTTAAGGGGGGGGGCCCGTTTTCGAAAATTAAAAAACCGTTATTTTGTATCCTTAAATCTATATTCATTCTTCATAAGTTTAAATATTGAATTCATTATTCATACATTAAATTTAATTTTTCGTGCTGATTTTGAAATTCCTTTCATCATTTCCTCTACATTAACTGGTTCTTCTCTATAAATACTTAATAAAACAATTATCAGATTTTCGTAGGGGGGGCCCGGGCCCCCTATGGCCCCCCCTGGCTACGCCCCTGATAGAGTGTCTAGTAATGACCTCGAGATTCGAAGTTGACACACATACATAAAGAAACATTTGAAACTATGTCGATCAGATGAGTCAGCATCAGGATCACAACACTGTCTACATGTGAATAAATGTTGGCTCGTAAACTAAGTGAAGATCTACATTACAAAAGAAAAGAGAATGTAAAAAAATTCATTTCAACTTGATGTGAATGAAAATGCATTCCATTGAAAAAGGAGAAGTTAAACGGGATACAAGAAAACAATAATAATAAAAGAAGGATAATGCATAAACCATAAAAGAGCACTCAGAATGTTATTCACTTTGTCTGATAAAAAAGCACATGACTACAAACAATTTCCTTTTCTTTCATTTCCAAACAATTGGATCAAAAAACATTCATAATTTTTTTCAAAAGAGACAAACGAGCGAAAAATTGCAGCACAGAAAAATGCAGTTATGGAGAGAAAAAAATTTAAATAAGTGAAAAAAGAATTCCTTCACAACTACTGCAATGGAGTGAAAATGATATCAAATAAATTTACGGAATTTATTTATTGCAAGTTTTATAAGTATTTGAAATTATGAATATGTTTGTGTGAAAAATGTGTGAAAATTAAACTTTTTTTTCTCATTTCAAATATTTCAACATGGAAATGCATGAAGTTTAGTCTGAAAGTTGGAAAACTACATTTTTACATGTTTTGTGCTTCATAAACTTTGGATTTAAAAAAAAATACATTTGAGGTCGTGATAATTTGTTTTTCATTTTCGTGCTACTAGATTCTAGATTCGAGTACATTGTTGGATAAAAGAACTGACAAGTGATTATTATTGTGACATTTGTAAAGAGATAATTATCTAGTTGCTCATCAAGTGTTTAAGTGCTTTTGTGACTGTAAATAATTTTTTTTTTTGTGGCATTTTTGAATCAGTTTACTTTTTATTTTTGTGCATTGCAATTCAAAGCTCATTTTAGAAAATCATTTAAAGATGAATAGAAGTGAACTTGTTTGTGAACAGTATTAAAGACAAATTTGACATTAAGAATATTTAAGGGCTCATTTAAGTATGAAATCTTATCTCCCAATTATCAGATCAGAAATCAGTAGACTTATCTTTTATATGAAGACCCAGGTTTGGTTCTTATTAGAGGTCAATCTACTAATTAAAATAAAGACACTCTAAAAGCTTTAACAAAGCTTCACACAACTTTCATAACATTTCAAGTTTGAGAGTCAATTCAAATTATATTCCAGCAGCTATAAATAAATTTCTTCAAAAAAATCCCAGTACCAATTAAGAATTCTCAATTAAATGTGCTCAAGAAACTTTTCCAAAAATGTATGAATAAAAATATTTTCTTATTAAAAATCAGACATTTCAAATATTGTTTTGCAAAATTAATCCTTAATGCGTGTATAAAGAGAAATAAGAAGTAAACCAAGATATTCCAAGTATTTAAGCTTATCATGTTGAATTAAAATCAATTTATGAGATACCAAAATACCTTTTAAATTTTTTCAACAACCACGTATTATTTCAGTAGGAGTAACCTTGAAGTGATAAAATGAACATAAATCATAAAGAGGTCGTTCATAAATGACATCCAAATTTTTTAAAAAGATAATCTAGAGCAGTCTAGACTATTCTATAGCAAAGTTTTTTAAGGCAAATTTATGCATGACCTAGTTTGTTGTGAGGGAAAACAACATGATGGTGAAATTTTTGCTTGTAAATTCTATTCAATTATGCATTTTTTGTGGTCAAAATTTTAGTGTATATTTATTTTTCATCAAAAAAATTTCTCATCATGTTATGTGCCCCCTCAAACATAGTTTGACTAAGATTTCGCTTTTAAAAATAATAATGGGATTTAAAGCTTTTGCTAATTTATCAGTATAAACAGTAAAACCAAGGGAGGAAGTGGAAGGGCTTTTAAAGTGTCAATCTTGCGTTCCATAATACAAGAATAATCAAAGGTTTTTACAAAGTTTTTGATAAAAATCATTTATGAACGACTCCAAAGTACTTTTTAAATAATCCACCTCAAAACTATAAACCAGAGTTATTATTTTCAGCTATAAAACAAAATTGCCAGCGCTCAACAACACCTAAAATTTTTAAAGAACAACCAAAAAATAATTTCACCGCCATTTCGTTAATATCTATCTAAGGGTAATGATAATTAGCAGTTTCTTAATGACACTAAAGTTCGCATCCATCAGCGTACATGATACATTTCAATAAGCAAAAAACATAAACTTTACATCACCCTTAGCATGATATGTTTAAAACAAAGTATGAAGTATAGATGATAGTACTTAAAATTCTAGTGTGCTGAAAAGTTTTACAAAATAAAAAAAGAAATTACTTGAAACTCACAAAAAATGTGATAGTGGGTCGAAAAGTGAAAGAAGGAGAACAGAAAAAAAATATGTCAAAAAACAATTAAAGTTCTTGGGCGAAAAAAAGAACTAAAACTCGATTGAATAAGTAGGTTAAATATCACAAAGACCTAAATTCAGTCTGTTTTGCAATCGAAGAAGCATATATACATAAAAGAATCGGCAATGAAACAATGAATAGAATTTGAAAGTGATTTTTCGTTATGGAAGTACTTTTTATGTATTGTATGACGTTATAGAGGGAGTAAAGGAAGGAGCGTAATAAAAAAAAAGTGAAGAAAAGTTGGAGCAAAACTCGTGTATGTGAAAAGAAAGTTGTTGTTTGTGTTCATGACGAGAACAAAACAGAGAATATTATGATTGATTTTCCTATTCAAAAAATTGTACGTGTGTGAAAAAATATGTTCATTATGAAAACAATATGCAGACATACTAATATTTATGTATGGAAAAGATGAATGAACTCGATGAAATGTGGAATATAATAATCACGTGAAAGAAAAAGTTTTTTTTTAATTGCAAGAGTTTTTATTGTGCTGCTAGTTTTTTGTTCCTTCCCTTTTCATCGATGCCTCATAATTATTAGTTATCCGTTATCCGTGTGTACAACAAAATTTATTTATACATTTGGTTATTAATTCCATACACAACACAGCCTTTAAAAAAAATAAATTAAATGAGTTCGACGAAGTCTCGTACTCGACCGAGTGCCACACAAATGATTGAAACGACTTCAACATCACCTTTAATATCAAATATAGCAACCACAATAAACTCAACAGCCACACTTCAGCAGCAGCAGTATGTACCATCATTACTTAAAATTGAATCCGTTGTGCCAATGCGATTAAATGCTAATACACGAAACATACAACAAAGAACTAATCGATTAATAACACGAAGTTATAGTACTTTATGCGGTCCAACAACAGCACCATCGCCAACCTCAACACCAGTAACAACCATCACAAGTGGATTAGTTAATAATTATAAAAATATCACAAAAAAGATAAATACCAATTTAAATCGTCAACAAAAGAACAATACGAATCAGCAGCAACAGCAGCGTTTAGAAAATGAAAGACATGAAAGTCCCACAGGAAAAATAAATAATCAACAAGCGAATGATGTCACAAATGTCCTCGTGGAGAATGGTATACATAAAGTAAGACGCCATTTTAAGGAGAAGGAAAAACAGCCAGACAGAATAAATCTAGATCGACGGGGTTTATGTACGATACCTGTAATTGAGAACGAACCAAATTTGCGTCTACTCTCCCTACAACATAACTTAATAAATACATTCCATATACCCGACTGTGAAGTTACAGTGGAATTGCCAACTGATGGCGTCAAAGATAATAATAATAATGTTCCTTCTACTAAGGATATGGATGTGGATAAATCGACAAACGGCAATACTCAGCCATTCAACAATCCAGTTATTAATAAATCAACAACAACAACATCTACAACAGCGCAGGCAATAGGAACTGCGAAACCACTTCTAAGGCAAATATCACGCAATCAATTAAATTTGAATTTTAGTGCCAACAATAATGCAATGGCAACAAATGGAACAGCAGTGAATGTTTGCGGCCTAAAATCAAATGGAACGTCAATTACTCCGGCATCATTTCTCCAAAAGTCATTTATGTTTCAAGGGAAAAGTGGTATTTTAAAACGCGCCAATAGTGTAATGATCAATTACTCTCCAACATCTACAGGGACATCATCGCAAGCTTCAACTATCCCAACAGTACAAAATTCAATATTTGGAAATGTGCAAAGGGGGAAATTGGTGGCAACACCGTCCTTCAGTATGATTGACACAAACACGCATCACGAAATAACAACATCGGCAATAAACAGTAATAAAGGCACACCCGAGCTACAAATCGATGCCAATAATAGCTATATGAGTAGTTTTCGTTTCAATTTCACAAATCTAGTGTTTCTCGATTTATACAACAATCAAATTGAGAGAATATCCAATTTAGACGGTTTAAAAAGTCTCACGGTATTACTATTGGGGAAGAACCGCATAAGTGATATCTCAGGCATAACGTCACTCAAACAAACCCTACGCGTCCTTGATCTTCATGGCAATCGAATCACGCACATAGCACAGAAAATTTGCCAACTACAAGAATTAAAATCACTAAATCTTGCCGGAAATTTGCTACGTCAAATACATCCAAACGATTTTGCCGGGCTCTGTTGCTTGAAAGAACTAAACTTGAAGCGAAATCGAATCAAAAAGATTAATGTTTCAGATGATTTGCACAATTTAGAACGGTAATATGTAATTTTTTTATGATATGCTGGGTATTATTTTCCTTTATATACAATTTTACTTCTTTTTTCACATTCATTTCTCCTTTTTTTTCGCAAAAAAGAGGCGTTCATCAAATATGAATGATGATGGGGTTATGATGGGAAATGTATGTTATACGAGTAATTTCATTATTATTATTATTATTATTATCAAAAAAAGTATTGTAAATTCTCATTGAAACGTAGCAAAAAAATATTGTAACTGTATTATTAAGGACAGCGAGAGTATGAGGATGTGTGTAGGACATGTAACAAAATATACATGAAAGTTAAATTTGTGTAAATATGCGAATAAAAGCCACAAGTTTGCAAATACTTTTCAACGCATTTACAATGTCGCGAAATTCTTTCACTTGTTGGAATGAGAAACTTATTCAAGACATGTCGTAACATTTGGGGACAGAGCTCGAAGTTGACTTCATATTTTCATTGATTTTGTATGGCAGAGTCGACTCCATACAAAATTTCAGTAACTTCGAGCTCTGTTTTGGAAGCTACAGTTCTTGAATAAATGTATAAAGTCGTTCGAATCAGTTCAAATATTTTATAACACTTTTCCGAAGCAACAAAAATTATCATTATTATTAGGGGCCATACACTTATGACGTACATCAAAAAACATGATTTCTAGACCCCCTACCCCCAAAAATGTTGGAAGTTATAAGTGACCAGCCCTTAACAGTATTCTTCTAAGAACCTTCAGTACTTTAAGAATCTTTCTCTCATAACTATTGCATAACCTGCATGCCTAATCTATGGTATTATTTCATGAACCCTTATCTATGCCTTTGTGTAGTTTTTGTGCTTGTCAATCAAAGTTTCCTTATAAACAAAACTAGTGATCTATAAGTGTAGCTATGAGAATAAATTTAAAACTCTTACCTCAATGACGAATTTCTTTAACTTTCCAAAGTTTTTTTGAGGAACAAACCTTTTTCTACCTTTAAGAAGGAAGTTAAGTCTACCAATTGGAGCCGATTGCTAATTCATAACACTTTTTTGTATATTATTTCGGTTAATTCAATTTTAAAATAAAGAAAAGCAATCACTGTAATTTGAAAAATGATTAAAGCTCAGTTTTGAATGTTAACAATATAAGTTGTCCTTTAAAACTGAGCTTTTATTAAGTTTTATTTACATTGATTCCTTTGATATACTTTACAATATTACAACATTCTTTAAACAAACTCTTTTTATAAGAAATTTGGTTCCTTAAATGATCTTATATGTCTCAGATTATAATCTTTAAATAATCTTTGAACAAAGATTATAATCTTCATTTTAAAAGATTATAATCTGCTGGAGCCTTGCTTAATAAGCTTAGGTAAGCTACAAAAAATCTGAATTAGTAAAAAAAATAGTGTAAAATGACCTAGACATTATTAAGAAAACTTTTTAAAAGTCAACAATGAATCAACTCCAAACGAAAGTTTGATGATTAATTCTTCAAAGCTTATCCCAAGCATTACAGCAACAGAACTGTATCTATTTAATTGTCTATGTGACATAATATGCATGAGTTATTCCTAAAAAGGACGAACTGAGAAGGTTAAGGCCTTTCCTCAATCAAAATTACGTTAAAAATTTGCATGAATAGAATTGTATATGTATAGAACTAAGTATAACAACACCCGAGTAGGTAATTAAACAATCATAAAAATGAAAAATAATGGTCGAAATGAGGAATTCTATTATTTTTTATGACAAATGAAATGTTACTCTGAAAGTGACCCTCAAAAAAAAATCTAGAAGAAACAGTTAGAGTCATTAATATATTTTCCTCCTTTCCCACATAACCCACCTTCATTCATCATCATGACTTCAATCACTCATTCCATATAATTTTATTATTCTTTTGGATTTTTTTAAAAAATATGTTTTATATCCGTAATTACAATTTATAGTTCTTACAACTCCTTTATTTCTCATTTTCTATATTTCAAATCCTAACTCGATTCAATGTGGAATGAACAAAAATCCTAGATTGTGGCTGTGTCATAATGAATTGCAAAACATTGAAGATATGTCCTCCATAGCAAAATCGATAAACTTGAAAGAGATTACTATAGAAAATAATCCAATTTCATTGGCTGGTGATTGTGTCTCATTTCTCGTAAGCTATCTTCCCATGCTTGTTTCACTTAATCAACTTCAAATAACTGAACAAGTAAGGAGAGCAGCAAATGCATGGCGTAAGAGTAAAGAGAATTCAGACCAAAGTTATCAGCATTTATCATCGGATGTAAGTTCAAGTATTCGACGTGAGGAGATAATCTCAAATGCTCGTACTAATTGGGAGCTGATACGCTCACAACAATCTAATATAATAAATGGTAGTCAACGACAAGTTAATCAAATCAAAAAGACGATAAAATCGAAACTCATATCAAATAATTCATCATCAATATCAACTGGATCTTTATCATCGAATACAATAGCTGAAATGTCAAGCAATGGGACCAATATGAAGATGTCAAGGAATTTGATTGATATACCAAAATGTCAGAAATCTAAACTCTTGCGTTCAACGTCACACGATAATACATGCTCGATTACATCGGAACGAGACATTGATATTGATAGTGATTACCATCTTCCACCTATGATTGATCAATTTGTTGATATGCCAAAGACAAATAACCGTAGTGCATCAAGCACTCGACCGAATATCGATTCAGAGTCTGATTTCGTGGGTTCCGACTCGGATGACCCGAAAAGCTTTAAATCTAGAATTCCCACAACACCGCCAATAAATGTACCGACCAATATATCAAGCAAACCACCATCACCGGTTGAAATAATCATTCGAGAAAATGATGGTGATGAGAATGATAATAATAATGTGAATGAAAAGAGCATCAACCATACAACGCCACCCTTGCCGCCCATTGAAATTGAACCTGTTGCTTCACCATCAACAAATGCTGAAAATTCTGAAGAGGCATCGTTAAAGGATATTCAGAATAATAATGCTCATAATAATAATAATAATAATACTAGCAGCAGCAATGATGTTACTCGAACGCCTTCGCCGAATACAAAAGATAAGGACAAAGCAACAATTACAATCATTGATAATTCAAGTGGAATTTCACTTCAACCTACAATAAATATCGAGGCCGATAATGGCAAGTCTAAGACATCATACCAGACAAATGACTCGAAGATTATTGAGACGACGGAGCTAGATAAGCTTTCTACAACATCAAAAGTGTCCGCAAAAACAAGTTCAGAATCAATCAATACGGGAACTATATCACCAAATGACGAACGGCAAGTTCATTCAAGTCAAACAAACTATCATCCAAGAAATCGAAGTGGTATCACCAGTCGCAAAATCGGTCCGCCACTTGTTCGTTCTCAAACAGCACGAAATTTGTCATCGCATTTAAGTAATCAGACGGCAACAGTGGGAACAGGCAATCAACAAAATGCAAACTTAAAGAGAGAATCAAAGAAGGAAATCGATAAGGATCGTGAACAAGGTAAGAAAGCGAAGAAAAATGTTTACGAAAAGTTTTGGAAGCTAGCATAGAAGTGGGTTATTTAGGTGTTGGTTGAGTGACTAGAGCGCATTTTACGGTATAGATTGCTTTTAGTTCTTTTATTGTTCGATTAAAAGCTATTTTTAATTCATCGGTGCCTAATCTATGATCTCTGAAACTCAAGAGTTGGTTCTTAGTGTATGTCTTAGCTATAATATCGAGTTGAGTAGTGTTTTATGCTAGGGTTTGCTTCATTCGATCGTTTACATCCATAAGTGAATAATAGGGCCAGGGTATATCATATAAACTAGCCTCTTGGGGTTAACTGGGTTCTGCGGTTTCGTCCCCATCCTTGTTATACCTCATCTATATCCAAAAGCTTGATCCTGAGACCAGATACTTCAAAACATCCCTTTGAGATACCATAGATTCAATTCCATCACTAAACAGTCTCTTAGTGACTATTAATCATTACAAATACTGTCATTGTAACAAAAATCCACACAATGAACCCACAATATTTCCACCTACTAGCCACAAAGTCAATATTAGCATACTGTGCACCTACACATAAAAAAATAACATCCTTCCTTGTATTTAACTTTCCTTCTAATCCATTTTTCATGATTTAATTTTTCAAACAGGTGGCGATTACTTGGTAGAAATTTTAGGCCGTTACTTGAACGTGTATGGCGTGGGAGCAATTAAATTTATCGATAAACAGTGGAGCGCACAAAAGGCCCAAGATGTTCATACTGTGAAATTTTCATACATAAATTTTAATAGTATTTCACCAATATTAGGAAGGATAAAAATTCGCTTTCCGAATATCGAGAACTATGTGTTTCGTGAAACTAATATTATATGTTTGGGTCAATTGAACGCAATGGCCGATACACAAGGATTGAAATCGATAACAATTGATCCCGAGGGTAATCATCTCGTTGCAAACAATAAAAATTGGCGAACATATGCAATATGGAGATTAAATCATTGGGGATTAAAGCAAATCAATGGGATGGAAATAACAGACGAGGAAATTATGGAGGCAGAAAGTACATACAGTGGACTATCAGATTTAGTTTTATGGTCATTACCTGAATCACTATTAAATCCCCTATTTATTCGTCTACGTGTTGATGAAATGTTACAAAATAGTAAAATAACACCAAAAGAATGGCTTATGAAACAAGCTGATGAATCAATACGGTTGATCGTTGGTAAGGAGGCGTTGCAATGGAAGAAAAGTAATGCACAGCAAGATGAAACGACGATAAGACGAAAAGGAAAGGTTTATTTTGGACATATAATGGAGAATACTGTAAATGCTGTCGAGAAACTTCAGAAGCTTGAATATCTATGGCCAAGCATTCTCACCGAAATGATTCGAAATACCCTAATAGATTACTCACAAATTGACTTATACGTACGGAACTTGATGAGTGAAATTAATTCAGCAACGCCACCTCAAAAATAAAGAGAAATGTTCAAAACGTGTCCTGTAATGGATGATTAAAGCGCATTTTTGCAAGTATGACTAGTCATTAAATTTTAAAAACTATTAAGGAATCTTCTTGGGTATTAAACTTAGTCATTCGCGTAAGGGTCGTTCAGTGCATCAAAAAAATGAAACATTTAGATTCTTTGTCGCATTTAATACATTCATAAAATCTCAGATCCCCAAATCTTAATTTAGAAGTCTACTTGAGGTTGTTGGAGTGAATCCTCCTTGACATTTTTCAGTCTATGCAAAAAAAACACTAATATCAATTATATCGCAAAGCTAGAAGTCTACTTGAGGAAGCTCAAGAAGATTTAATCGACTTCAAATTCTCTGATTTTATGAAAATGGATCCGATTAGTGTTTAAGTATGTCTGATTCTAAATATTCGTCATCATTGAACATACTTAATTCCGACATGTGAATCTTCAGTTTAATAAGCTTTCATATTTTTGATTTAATTCTATTTTAATTGAATATAGTTTTTGTTGACAAGTCTGGCTTTGTTGTAAGTAGTTTCAACAGAAATTATTCTTAAAAACCTTTAAGGGTTTGTTCTCCAATGACATGTACACACTTCTATAACCCCCCCCCCCCTATTTTCTCTTGTGACAATTTTTTCACGTACAAAGATGTCACACAGCTTCAATAACATCATATAAACTGGATTTCATTTAGGAACGACCCCATACCTAATCAGAAGCATAAAGCCTAACTCAATACTGTTTCCAGCCAAACAGAAAGGTTGCCATAGTATCTCCATGCTTTGCAAAAATGCGCTTCATTAAAACCAATTTAATTAAATTGTAATTAGGAATTTAAAAACAGAAAAGTAACTGCCGTAAAAAAGTAAGTTGTAATTCTTAATTGAACGAGAATAAAAATTCTTTTATTATTAATTTAGTAAATCCTTATCTTCCATCTACTTCTTTACTTTATTGTTCTACAATTTTCTTTACATTCTCATGCTCATTCTCCGTACTTTCAACAGAAACCTGGTCTGTAATTAAATTTAAAATGCCTTCATAATCCTCATAGATTTTCCATTGACTTGCCATAATTTTCTTATCTTTAATGTATTTAGCAGTGCTCTCATGGTTTAGTCCTAGATGTAATGCTTCATCCTGGCTCATTCTATTCAATGCAGCACATGTAACTTTAAATTTATGAATGAAGAGATTATTGACTTTTACATTGAACTCAATTTTATGATGAGAATCAACTTTCGGCCATTGTTGATCGAAAATGTCAGCATTCCAATTAATATAATCCGATTTTTCTGTAACACGATTTGGCGCTGAAATAAATCTCGACCATAATTCAGAAGAAAAGTGCGGTGCAAATGGAGCTAGCATGATAATTTGTGCAGACAGTGCACGTTCATATTGCTTTCCGAAACATACAACATCTGGCGGTGCACGACGAATTGCATTTGTTAATCCTTGAAGTCTTGATATAGCAATGCTCAGTTGATGGGAAATTTTGAAATTGAAAGTTGCAGTACTTGTAAAATAGTTTGCAGAATCCAATAGCTTTTCTTCGTGCTCATCAAATTCTTTGGAAATGCTAATTTCATTAATTTTCTGTCTATGGATGTGGAAGTCATGCAATGTCATCCATAATCTCTTTTGCCATTTAATTATTCCTGGAAAAGTTGCTTCCGACCAATTTCGATGACTTGTTGGTGCAACATCACCGAGCATTATTAATCTGGTCGTATCGCAACCATGAGATTGAATAACATCAATTGGATCGACTCCATTGAATTTTGACTTTGACATTTTCTCCCATAGCACCTCCACTTTTCTTTTTGTTTCTTTCTCGACCGCCTTACCTTTCTTTTCATTAATAATTTCTACTTCATTTGACTTTAAATAAAGACCATTTTCTTTTACGCGATATGTCTTGCCTTTAACCATACCTTGTACCAAAAGTTTCTTGAAAGGTTCTGCATCCTTAACATATCCTTTTTGATGAAGAAAATGATTCATAAAACGAGCATAATATAAATGAAGAACAGCATGCTCCTTTCCGCCTATATAAATATCTACAGGCATCATCTCATTCCCAAGTTTCTTATCAACGAGATCTAATTGATTCTGCGGATCTAAGTATCTTAGAAAGTACCATGATGAGTCTACAAATGTATCCATTGTGTCTGATTCTCTTTTAGCATCTGTATTTCCACATTTTGGACAGCTACATTTCAGCCATTCATGATTCTGACTTAATGGCTTGCCAACTTCATCATTTTCAGGTAGTTTTATTGGTAAGTCTTCATCTTTTACAGGAACAGCACCACAAGACGGACAATGAATTATTGGAATTGGAGTTCCCCAAAATCTCTGCCTTGATATCAGCCAGTCTTTTAATTTTGAACTGATTTTAAAGTCACCACCCATATTTAATTCAGCAGCTTTGCTTAAAACTTCATCTCTACTCAAATTCATGCTAGATTGACTCTTCTCTAAGCCGAACTTTTCAGCTATTTTGGCATCTCCTTCATTATTACTTGATACATAGACATCATTAAAAGGTGGAAATTCAACTTCATCGGTAACAATAATAGCCAATTCATGACCTGTGAATGGATTCTTTGCTCTTAAGCTTAATAAGCCACTGTCAATTTTGTCAGTATTTAATAAATGTTCCTTCCTTATAGCTATAAATGTCGCATACTGAAATTCTTCTGGAGATTTACTCCATACTGTAATATTTTTGTCATTGCTAAGTTTAAATGAAAAGTTCCATCCATCACATTCACCAATCCAGTGCTTCTGTAAGTTAATTATGTCCTTCCAATCTTCCAGAATTGGATCATCTAAACCAGCATAAAGTTGATCTGCAAATTTTGTTGTTTTTATGAACCATTGTTTAAGTAGCTTCTTCTCAACTTTAGCTCCTGAGCGCCATGAAAGTCCATTCTCGTCAACTTGCTCATCTGCTAAGACTGTCTGATCAACTGGATCCCAATTAACCATTGATTCACATTGATAAGCAAGGCCTTCATTGAAAAGCATTAGAAAAATCTTTTGTGTCCATTTATAATAAGCTGGATCACACGTTGCTAATTCGGAATTCCAGTCAAAAGAACATCCAAGATCATTAAGTTGCTTCCTCATACGCTCAATATTCTCTAATGTCCATTTATTTGCTGGAATTTTCCTCTGAATTGCTGCATTTTCTGCTGGAAGTCCAAATGCATCCCATCCCATTGGTTGAAAGACATTCCTGCCTAATAATCTGTAGAATCGAGCTATTGTATCAGATATTGAATAAACTCTAACGTGACCCATATGTAATTCACCGCTGGGATAGGGAAACATTGAAAGTACATAGCACTTCTCCTTGTGATTTGATGGATCAAATGGTTTATAAATAATCCTGTCTTTCCAGTGCTGTTCAATGACCTTTTTCATGTCTTCTGTAAGTATTTTCTCCTACAAATATTATTTTATTACATTTACTTAAAAATAGACAGTGTCTTGAAGTGACATTACCTGCAAATGCGTACATCCTATTGTAGAATATGCTGACCATGTTAGTTTTACTGTTTTATAATGATTTAACTTAATTTTATTAAATAACCAATTTGTAATCATTTTTCAGTTTGTAAACAATTCAAATTACAGTACAACCTCGGTAAACAGCTGCGATTCAAATCCTTAAAACGGTCGTTAAAAAGGCATCGCCAGAATATTTATAACTACAAGAGACTTTATCATTTATAAATTCTTACATTGTAAATATTGACAAAAGTTTCGCAATATTAGATTCTTTATATACGTAAAGTTGATATCTAATTCCAAAGTTTCACAAGCATAAAGATACACAAAGTTTCATAATAATTTTTAAAGTCATATCAAGGTAGATATCCCATATTTCACCTCGCAACCTAAATATTTTTCTGTGTCCGTAAAATTAATTCATAATTTCATTCTTAACTTGGACTAGAGATGTCAAAAACTATTAGAAAGCCAACAGAAGGTAGTTATCCATCATGCTATATAACAAGCCGTATAGAGGAACGACGGCAACGTGAAAAACAGCTAAGGTAAAATAATATTTCATAAATTATTAAATAAATTGACAAAAGAAAAGTTTAATTTTACTTTCTCCTGGGTTGGCTATAAATGAAGCAAGTTATCCTTCATTATCAATGCCTTTTAAGTAGCTATGACTCATATGTTTACTTAGATCCAGTGAGTAAGTTTCATGTAAACAAGAAACTTTTAAGGCAATTAATCTTTTGCGTCATTTTAATTTTTGGGACACAACAAAACAAAATAATAATTTACCTGTTTACGCATATTATAGACAAGAACGACGTAGAAAAAACACTGACAAGCCTGATGATTTTGTGACTTATGAAGATTCCGATAGCGAAGAAGAAACTCCTCATCAACAGCGACAGATATTAAATACATCCTTCAACTTTGTCGACTATGTGAGAAGTCGAGAGTCTGACTTGAAGGAAGTGAGAATGGTGGATTCATCTCATGCATCTCGTCATATTCTAACACATGACATGTTTAAAGAGACTCCAATTAATCTTGGGAATATAAATAAAGTATTTTGCTCTCAGTGGCTCAGCAATAGACAAATTGTCTTTGGCACAAAATGTAACAAATTGATGGTCTATGACGTAAACATGAGACGAGTGGATTCCATTCCAACGCTTAGGAATTCAAGGGGATCAAACGTTGATACTCAATCAGGAATACATTCATGTCAAATTAATCCTAGTCGTACTTTACTCGCAACTGGTGCACGGCATTCAGCTGATATTGCAATTTATAGACTTCCAACATTAGATCCCGTTTGTATTGGTGAGAATGCTCATCGTGATTGGGTATTTGATATGACATGGCTTGACGATCAGTTCCTTGTGTCTGGTTCGCGTGATACAAAATTAGCTCTGTGGCGCATCAATGAAGATCTCATTGATTTTCCTGAAAAACCAGCTAAAGAAGAAGAGGAAGCTTGTCCTACATATGCTCACATCAATCCAGTATGTGTTAAGGAAGTTAGAAGTGCTCAAAAGATCCGTGCTGTATGCTTTAATAAGGAATATAAGGAAATCGCATTGTTATCGCTTAATGGTCAGTATTAGTTGCTTGTTGGATGTCACTGAATGTTTATCAGTTTCTTATTGATTTCTAGGCTACATGCATCTGTTTAATGCTGAAACGTTTTCACAAAAAATGTCGAGGAAGCTGCCAAATTGTCAGGAAAATGTCTGTATTGCATGTCAAGAGAATGGTCTTTATGCTGTTGGATGTCGGTCGTACACATTACTTTTAGATCCTAGAACACTGCAAGCTGTCAAGAAAATCGCTTCACGTTACAATGGTTGTGGAATTAGATCTGCAAGTTTTCAACAAAACATTTTAACTATTGGAACTGGACTAGGGATGCTGATGTTCTTCGATGTCCGAGCTGGAAAATATTTAGAAAGTAGTATAAACACATCACGTACTGTAGTACTTAAAGCAAGCAAGGGATATGTGGTAAGCTGTAATTAGATTTAGTCTTTTGTAAGATTAGGTCTTATCCTAGGATTAATTTTAAATCCTGAAGATTAATTCTATGGATTTATTTTTATTTTCATTGTTAATCCAATGTTGTGTCTTTTTAGTTCCCAGACGAGGATGTTGACAACTTATCGAATGTGAAATACGTACCAGCTATATACACGCATTGTTATGATCAAAGCTATACTAGACTATTTACAGCAGGTATGTGAAAATTTCAATGCTGAAGTGAATGAACAATGTCTGTAATGAATATCTTATAAATTTTTTAGGCGGACCCTTACCAGCAACACTAATTGGAAATTATTGTGGTATTTGGCAATGAATAATATTTATTAAAATAAATTTTGTATGGTGAGAAATTAAGGAAATTAATGATTTTCAGTTTCCAAATAAGGATTTTTCTTCTGTGAATTATTTTTTTAAGTGATGAAAGTTTTTATCCTTTTTTCATTTTAATTTGTATGCTCGTGCATGAATTTAAAATAAATGCGTATGTAAGTGATTTTAATAATTTTTTTAACATATTAAGTATGAAAAAAAAAACGAAAACTGTAATTAATAAACTTAGTTATTACACTAATTTAATAAGAAGCATTGCTTTATGCAAAATAATATCTTTGATCTTTGATTTCCTCTCACAATAATTAAGTTTTAAAAGCAGTATTAATGACTTGAGGTAAGGCAATAAATGAGATTTAGGCTAATTCCGGTTCTGCTTCTTTAAGGACATCCTTAGCTTTGATATACTCATCCTTCTCTTCGAGATCCTTTTCATTTTTCAGCATATCATTCAGTTCGTCATATGCTGCACGCAATCTATAGGAACAAAACATCAGAATTATTCAATGAACCATCTGTTCTGCTAAAACCTTAAATCTAGTTAAGTACGATTTATTTGATATTACTTACTTCCTTTGACAGTCTGGAATCATCATCAGATTCTCCTGGATCACTTCTTCTTGCTTTTTTATGTCATGTTCATCACGATTTTCTCGTCGGAATTTCTCAAGTCTCTGTTTTTCCTTTTCAGCTTCCTTTTCATATGAAATCTTCTCTTTTGCGTATCGTTTAACGACACCTGACTTGATAAAGATCTGTCTTACTCGTGGATCAGCCATTATTTAATAATTACCTTGTTATTGTATTAAACTTATAAAATTAAGGAATGGCTTTGGACAATAAAACAGAAAATATGAATCACCGCAAAGTTTGAATTTTACAAATACGTTGATGAAGTTAAGCAACCCAGAAACTTTATTGCACACACTCTTAAACTTGTTAAGATTCGATTATATGCTGAATTGTAACATAACCATTATTTAAAGAATCCCGATTTTGTTTGGATCAAAGGTATATTCAACTAGCTTTAACTGCAAAAAACATTTATTGCATTTCTCAACGATTCATAACATTTCAGAGAGGGTTCAGATATCAGGCACTAAGCACTTCCGCTACTTCCTTTAAGCATTTTTAGCATCTTAGGACTTTACTGAATCAGAATATATAGCATTTGTCTTCAAAATTGGTTTCAGGTACAATTAAATGCATGAAATCATCAAAATCCCCTCAAGCTGCGAGTGTTGTTTATGGTATTAGAATGTCTCAAGATCAATACCTATTATCTGAACGTAATGTGCCCAACATTCAATCAAGTTCTTTTTATCGAAGATTTTTAAATTCGACAGGTGCAAATTTCTCGGATGTCGATGCAAAAATACCGAAATGGTACATTATGAAGAAGTTGCGTCGCATATCTTATGACACTTTATGTTGTCTTCAGGAAGCAACTTCTTTTTTTGCACGTCGCAAGAACAAGGCACAGTCTTGGAGTAATTTTTATGTTGGATTGGATGAATATTCGACGGAACGTGACTTGAGTGAAAGTGAAATCTTCCAGCACATTATGAATGATTTAGTCAAAATAGTCGACAGCTGTATCGACAATGCTATTCCCTTGATCGTTGATGGAAAGCCTATTCATGTCGAACCCAACTTTTCACAGCACAGCTCTATGACCTCGATCCTTGCCATAAACAACCTCCAGTCTACTTCTAAGCAATTGCAAGTAGCACGACGTAGATATTTAACATTTTAACTTGTTCTTGTTTAGTTTATCTCGTTTCCAAATCAGCAGTTCCGCTAATTCTTGTTACTATTTCGACGTTTCATTTGCTGTTCATCTCACTCATCTCAACTTATCGTTCTTAATATCTCTCATCCCAACTCATCGTATTCAAATTCGTTGTTAACATTTTTGTCATGGACCATATTACTTGTTACCATTTTGGCATTTCATTTTTTGTTCCTTTATCACTCATCCCAATTGATCGTTTCCAAATTCCTCGTTAATATTTCGGTCACGGACCAAATTACCTGTTACTATTTTGGCTCATCCATTTCTTGTTCCTTTATCTATCTATTTTCGTTTTGGCTATTTTCTTGTTTCCCCTCCCCGGGTTTAGAAGGATGTAATGCGTAACAGTTTTGTATGTTATATGCACGAACTAAGCCTCTTACATCCAAGTGCCTATCCTCACCTTCTCGTGGTTAAAGGTATATCTATGCTGAAAACAGTGACTTAAATTATGCTGTGAATAAAATAATAGAGATCAATAAGGTGTAGACTCAGTGATGTTATTAGCATCTTCATATAAAATTAAACCTATTTATTGCTCATTAATTTGTATTGAGACAAAAAATACTATAAATGACTTAAGAATCACATAAAATTCAATTTGAATTTACAGTAAATACTAATAAATATGAACTAAGGAATTAATTTGTTTCCATAAATTCTCATTAGGGCAATGTACGTATCGACGATATCTTATCAACTACATTAAATTTATTTTGACAATGAATTCTACTAGTACACAGCACATCTCATGCAAAATGATCTATTAATGTATCATGAACAGCATCTTGTATTGATGGATATAACATATTCATAAACTTAAATTCATTCTTTATTAAAATCTCATAAATTTTTGTGGTGCACGATGAAATCGAGATTTTAATATTCAACTTCTCGAAGTCATTTATCAAGTCTGTCAGCATTTTAATTGAAGATGAGTCAATATTTGCTAATGGTCCGAAGTCAATTATTAAGTGATTAAATGAAATTGATGATGATGGGATTGATTGCTTGCCATTTTTATCAATTGACATTTCTTTCTGCTTCATTTCTTTCAACAAATTTATCTTCAAGATTTCGCAGAGTTGATTACGGAATGAAGCTTTTGTGGCATAATTAATGGTTCCACTGTATTGCACTATTTTGACATTTGGTATTTCTATAGCCTTTTGGAATTTATCAATATCAAGATAAAAGTCTGTCTGTGGCACATTTCCAAGAACACACATGTGACTGTTTATTCCATAAAAGAAGAGACACAGCACACTCAAGCATATTCCAACAAGAAGTCCAACATCAATTGAGAATATCACGACTGACAGGAAGGTTAGAAGCCACACAAATCCATCTCTATTACTTTTTCTTCGGAAATGATTAAATTCTGATATTTTCATCAGCATTCCTTTAATTGCTACGACCACGACTCCTGCCAAGATACACTGTAAATAAGATTGGATACGATTTTATTAGTAGGCTCATGGCAAAAAGCTGAGAGGCAGGCAATCAATGATCATAAAACATTTGATTGACATTGAAGCTATATGCAGCTACAATATTGCTTCAAAAGCAAAACGAATACTTACCCTAGGCAGCACTTCAAAGAATGGTCCGATCCAAAGCAGAACAAATAGAATCAATATTGATGAAACAAAAGATGCCAATTGAGTTCGAGCACCAGCAGTTTCTTGAATTACAGTACGTGAAAGTGAGGCTGAAGTTGGAAGGCAGCTGAACATTGATGAAAATATGTTGCAAACACTCTAAAGAGATAATTAATCATCAGTTTCTCACAGTCAACTTCATATGCATAACAAAAAAAAATTGGAAATTGCAAAATTATGCTAAAAAGTTACCAAAGCTAATATCTCTTGATTAAATCCAATCTCGTATTTATATTTCTGTCCAAAAATTAAAGCCATCGATACAGTAATTGAGTATGACACAAATGCAATAGCTATTGAATCAACGAGCAATTCACTCCATAAATCAAATCGAGGAATTGATGGTTCGGGTAAGCCAAGTGGAATATGTCCAACAGGATCGATTCCATATATTTCAGGTAGATTCGCATATTTTGATAGAAAAGTCCCTCCAACAACAAGAATTAATTCTATAGGAACTGGAATTTTTGTGATTTTTGATACTCGTGGCTTTAAAATTTCATTGTTGATCAGGAGAATCACGATTGTAGATAAGGACATGATCAGTGCTGCAATATTTACATTGGTTAGCTGATTGTATACTTCTGTGTACGTCTGAAAGGATTGAATAGATTAAAATTAGAAATTAAGAAGCTTTTTTTTAAGTTTGGATTTATTTTAATCTGTGTACTTTAATTCTTGGATTAATTTTCATTTCTTCACCTCAAACCTGGATTAATTTTCAATTAGACATTTAAATTAGGGGTCGTTCTTAAATTTTGTAACTCTGAAGGGATCTGAAAGCACCCTTTTTCATGAACCTCATGAAGAGATTGCTTTTAAATTATATCTCAGCATTTCCATTTGAATAGAAGTATCAGATTTAGACCTCCTTACAAAAACTTGAATATCATTTATGAACGACTCCAAACTGCATCCCATTTAAATTTCAAAGAATTATTACCTTAATCATTTCAAAAGTTCCGCTAATTCGCTGCAATTTGATGCCCAATAAATCTTTAACTTGAGATGTGAAAACGTGTATGGCAGCACCAGTTGTAAATCCACTGACTAAACATTCAGAAAGTAGAAATGACAAAACGCCCATTCGAGAAATGTACATAATTAGCTGTAAAAGTCATCATATGTGTGATTATCTACAATTATTAATTAACTTGACAAATTACCTGAATCATTCCCACAAGAAAACAAAGCAGTGTCGCTACTTCTGTTGATGTATATCCAGCATTTCTAGCTAGATCTGAGCTACTATAGTCACTTGAATATGTAATCACACTCTTACCGACCATTATTGAGACAACAGCAAATGTTCCTGATAAAGACACAAAAGTCATAAAAAAAGGTGTTAAATCAATTTCTAGACATGGAAGTAACACCTTTTTAATTACCTACTGCATTATGACGCGAAGTTCCGAAGATGACATACAAAAGTACAGGGAAGAACGCCATATAAATTCCAACGACTGGCGGAAGATTTGCTAATAAGGCATAACCCATGCCCTGAAATAATATTTTTATATTTGATCCTTTAGCACTAAAATATATTTCAATAAAGATAGAAACCAACCTGCGGTATTTGCATTATTGCAACTGTACAGCCACTGACCAAGTCGCCGGTAAAGTCATCTTTCGAGTATGTCCGAAGCCATGAAATTATCGGAAATGCATCTAAAATTGACTGTTGAATCGCTTCCTTATTGATTTGTTCAACTTTTCTCTTAATAACTGGATGGATATGGATATGGAAGAAGACGCAAAAAAAATATCAGGTTAGTGATTCATTCAACGTGATATCCAGCATATAAGAAAGTAAAACGAAGATGATAATGATTTCATGGAATTGGCAATAAAAAGTTTAAAAATAAACTATAAATTATAGGGGCCATAAATTCTCTCTTGTCTCTCAAGATGAAAACATAGCTTGAGGTTATTACAAAAGAGTCATGTGCTGTCTAAAGTTCGTTACGAGAACTTTCAGTGTGATAAATTTATGATCAGCATTTATCGCAATTCTAAATGATAGATTATTCATCATTATGCGCAGCTAAACATAAAGATGTCATCACTAATCGTATAAGCTTCGCACATCAAATGTACAAGCCACAGAAACCAGATTTGTTTTTAGATCAAGTATGTCTCTAATTATTCGTGCCACAATAATTGATGCGTAAAAGCCTCTTTTCTCTCTTCATTTATGATGGCTTGATTATTGTTAATTATAGTCATCTATAGGGGAAAACCCAAATAATTGTGCCTGTTTCAGTTGACTCAAAAAATCACGATTTAAATCACAAAAATTCGTTAAAATTTAATTTAAGTTTTCAAGCACAAAAGTTCGTTATTTTCACAGATAAATCTTGAATAAATTAGTTATGGACACTTGTTTACTCATTCTTAGCTATTCATTCGGAGCAAAAAATTATTTTGCATAAGAAACGACTTTATTTATTGGCATAAATTATTAAAAATAGTCTTATGTGTCAACAACTTCAAAAGCTTAGCCAGAAAAGCCTATAAAAGCACTCGAAACACAAAAAAATCACCAATTCATTATTATTCATGGGGACAGCATAATGAGAACCACTCGAAAATTTAAATAATTCGGCACGCGGCATGCAGCAAACTGCTTTGTCATGAATAAATCAATTATTACGAATCACTGTCTATGCTATTCGAGAATAAGTACCTTAGGTAGGTCAGTTAAAAAATACTACTTAATCAGATGAATAAGCATTTGCGTAAAAGAAGAAAAAAATACTACGTCCTCGTTAATGACCTTAAGATGATGGAAGGGAAGTAACAATACTCACATGACTTTGATGGCTCTTTTCTATAGACCATTTCACGAAATAATGATTCTTGATTATACTTTGATCGCGTAATATGTATTTTTGTTTCATTGCTTCTGTCACTAAATGAAGATGGTCCACTTGATTTAAAATCATCACTTCCTTCACTAACATCCAGTCCTTCATTCACAAATCCATCACTATCATTGTCTAAACTTCTAAACATTTTGTATTGTTTATTTTTATAGCACTTAACAATTTCGTCTCTAGAAAGCACACGAAAAAATATTATAAGGATGTAAACAGCGGAGCTTGATCAGTTCCAACCGAATGATTCGAGAAAAGTAAAGTTTTTGCTGCCTAAAGACCTTCAAATTTTTGTAATAACAAGCAGCAATTTCAATTCTATTAATGACACGAGCCTTATCAAGATGATGTTTACAGCATATAGCAAAAAATAAAAATAACAACTGCGACCGTTCTTTTAAATTCTTACGTTTTTGTACGCGTTCGATACGAAAAAAATAAAATCACTTCTATCCACGACGCCGATCAGTTTGATATTGAGAGAGACGCTGTAGATATATATTTATTTTTTTCTCTTTTTCTGCTTTTTGGTACTTGAAGGCAGCACAGCATAGCACAGCGAAAATATTGAAGTATTCAACACTACAGAAACTGGTATTTAATTTGGTTGAAAACACACCACTGAATGGATAGTCGGGATTGGATTCGCAAAAAAAAATATATATATATAAAGCTGTTTCTCGGAATCTCTGACATAAATGTGAAATTTTTGTTGCTTTATTAAAGCTTAATCTTTATGTCCGAGCATATATAGTTTGCAATTCTATCCTCGAAAATAAATCATCAGTTTTACCGTTCTCTTGTTTTTGTGATAACTTACGTTGCTATCAATTGAATTCAGTACTTTATAAAAATAGGCAATATATATCACATGCTTCCAACAGAACTGTCAAAACAGAACTGAAGCGTTTCATTGTTTTACATTTAAATACTTTAAAGTTTATACACAGCTAATGATAATAGCTACAATAACAAATAATAATCATATAGGTTTATTAAAATTCGTCACCATTAAATGCTATTACCTATACTGCCTGTCTTTGGTCGTCGCTTTCATTACATTTTTTTACACATTATCCATCATTTGATTGTATCCTTGTTCATTTGTTTACTTGTTGATGAGCCTCTCGTGCAATCATATGGCTTTTTATTTGATCATGACAAGTTCTGCTGCTTGAGCTATGTGCTGTGATCCCTTAGTGAAATTAAATTTGTACAAAACAATAAATTCAAAGTTAATTTTCTTTGTATTTTATGATAATTACTGTGTCTTGCAGTTTCTATTCGTTGCCGCAACGTCTATTAATTAAGTACATTAATGTTATGCACTATTTAACTACTTTAAATCACTGCAATTAATAAAACTTTGCAAAAAAAAAAATTCAAAAATTATGTAAACAAATAATTTTAATGACTTGAAGTTTGCTACAGTTTGGTGAATTTTGAATATTCAAAAATTTAAATTTGTAACAGAAAAATTATTTAAATGCTTTTAAACTGATACTAGTGCACTAGTGATGCATAATAAAGTATGAGAAACACTGCTTCTATAGCATATACTATTGTTGCTATCATATGATGAAAGCAATTGTTCAAATAAGTTTAAACTTTATTATTATTTTTATCGATTTTATTCTTCTCTATGAAATTTAGTAATCCTCGTGCATGCATGTCAATAAAAATTGGTTTCGTGTTTAATGAGTCAATAAAAATGAGTTGGCTTTAACTATTGATAATCAGCGTATAAAAACAGATGAAAGCATTGAAGTGTTTAATCAGCACTTAGCACCTTTGCTCTAATCAGCGCATTATTAAACTAAATGAAGACAAATTAACACTTACTAATTTTTATTATTCTTGGACTTCTTCTTCTAAAGAGCTAATGTGTTAATGATGTGGTGTTCTGGAGATCAGCAGGAACATAACTCTAAATTTTTAAACTCTTCTTTTTTCCCCTGCAACCTAGATACGCCACACACTTTGTAGTAGACAATGTGCTTCCGTTTTCAAGATTATTTGTATAAATGTCATTGGATCCAAGAAACAGATGATTTCGAATAAATATTATGAAAATATATTACTTTTTAGTGAAAATAGTATACGATCTACTTATAACTTCCTGACTTGAAAATGCTTCTTTAAAAATTTTAAAAGTATTTCCCTTAATTAAAGGATCATCCACTTTTGACGTCCGAAGAAAAGGGATATTAAAATAATTATTGTTCTAACCTTTAGAACCCCCAATCTCCTACATTTTAATTCCTTAATTAAATCAATTAATTACAAAAGCTCCAAGTTTTGCATTCAAGACCTTAAAAATCATAATGACGTCCGTATGCTAATAAACTATCAGATTAGTTCAAAATTCATAAAGCTATTCATTCATTTTTTTTTATCTTATATAGGATTCACCTTTAGAAATCCAAAAAAAAATACAGTTAATGACGACATTCGAGTGGTTGTCAAAAATGCAAAATTTATTCATTTTTCATTCATGAATGCAAAAGACCCAAGTTCCGAGAAATATCACTTCCAAGACATTCGTTGATGATGCTTTTAATCAGTCGAGTGCCATTCACATTTTTTGATAAAGATGAAAAGCTGTAAAAAAAACAATAAAATTGTAACTGCTGGGAAAATCCAAAATCTGAATTGGATGTAAGAAGTTATAGCTAATTTAAACGAGTATGTTTGAGGTAGTTTATTTATATCTAGTCCTTGATAAGGTTCTCCAAAGCTAAGGTCAACAAATATTGCACGTTATAAATATGAAAAGCTTGAGTCTAGATAAATAAGTAGACTAGATAATAGCTGAATCTTTCGAGTCTAGACAATCTGATCACACAACAAATTCAATGAGTAATCCTCAGAGCAATAATACATAAACATCGTAAAAGAAATAACAGAAGTTAATTTTCTCACGAAGAAGGAATTTGCATTTACAAGAAAAACATCACATGACTTGTGCAAAAGACGTAACCAATTCAACTTCCAACTCCCATAAATAAAGAATGTTTTTTGAAGGTCTTCTTCTTATTCGCTGAAGAAATTAATAAACTTTTGAATCGAACAATAAGAGCTGAAAAGGGGATTTTTTTAGCAAATATTTTGGATCCAATGTGTCATTATGACATTACATTAAGTCTTTATGAAGAAGTTTTTATTTCCAAACCCGTTAAAGGCTAACTTCAGCTACATATCTCAGCAAGGAAGTAGTAAACTTTAATTCCTGGAATTATGTCTTTTCATTGTATAGAACTTTAAGATTCTATGTTCCTGTCTAATGGAAGCGTCATCATTTCTATTCTATCCCTAAAAAGCAGTGCATTATAAGTGACTAATAGGAATTCTACTACGCACATTATTATGTTCTGAAGCTAAAGAATTTTAAATACGCTCTTTCAAAGAACAACTGAAGCTATTGATTTATCAATTATAGACGATTCGCATATCTGACATTCAACAAGTGATAATTTCTTCAATATGAATAAACAAATTGATCCTTAATTTATTTGAGATTTTACTCATTGTCAATATCACATGAAACATTAACTATTTGTACTTTAACTTAACAAAAATAAGCAATTACAATGTCATGTCAGTTTTCCATCATATCTCATTACTTTTCTTTTTTGATAAGCACGTTTGTTTGAATTGAGTTTTTTATTGTCAGGAAATTAATTAAAGTTTGATCGATATTTGTCAATTTTAGAATCAACGGAAATTTATTTTTTGAAAAAACAAGCAAAAATACGTTAAAAATTTGAATCCTAAAAGTACGTAAAAATAGTTTCATTTTAAACTTGTATAACTTGATATTGTATACGATTCGAGGCGAAACTTAATGAAACAGCTTGACGCATATTTATTGAAATACCATTGAGCTTTCAGCCGGTAAACTTATCCTTCTTAATTTATTCAACGTAAAACATTTTCTTATTTCTAAGCGATGACTAATCTCAATCCAGTTTGGTTCCCAACAGAACAGAACAGGTTTGCAGCCTAAAAAGGCTCTTTTCGCGTAGACATAAAATCTGGTTGTGATATTTACGAGTGTTTATATATTAAGAATATATTATAAACTTTACGGCCTCAATCACGTGAATTTTGTTTTTAGCGCAAGTTCAAAAAACTGGATAAAATTCCTGCATCAAGTCAACTTTTCAACTTTATTATTCGATTGCACAATACTAGTGTATTTTGGACTTTGACATGAATTGATTTACAATATTTATTTATTGTAAAAAAACGGAAATGATATTTTTACACAAAATATGCAGCAAGTTGTGCCATCTTATCTTTTGGTGGTTTTGGACGTCCACGATTAGGTCTACCTTTTCCTCTTCCACGACTAGATCGACCACCACGTGATGAATTCAACCGTCTATTCTCAACGGCTTTATGCTTCTCAATTAGCGGCATAAATTCATTAAAGCAGAATATACAGCCAGTCTTTTTGTCATCGCCATCAGCAAATGGTGTTTTCTCTTGCTTATATGCTACCGTGACCAATTGTGAGCCACATTCGCATGTATCTTCGTCAACGGTTACTTTTAATGCATCATCAAAGATATTGATTATACAGTCACATGAATTGCATCCCAATTTCCAATTCTTTGGTGATGATGTGCTGTTTGAGAAATAAAAGCATATAAAGTTAAATATCGAGATGTTAATTAGAGCACAATAAATAATTGTCCGTTAAATACTGGGATGTTTTTGAAAACATTTGAATTCTAATCTGAAGCTAGCGTCGTTACTTACCAGTCGAGTACGAGAACTCCTTTATCGCATTCTATACACGATGAAACGCCAAGATTGGTAAGAGAATGTTGACAAGTTGGATGTGTGCAATTATTACATCCTGAAGCTCGTGTCATATCAGGGAATGGTGGATTGTTATAGCAATATGGACAAAATGGAAATGAACGTCCTTTATTTCCACTACTCCATGCAAGGAGCTCAAAATCATCAAGTGGACATTTCAATTCACGATAAACACGCGCGATTCCTCCAACTGGAAGTGAATAAGTCTCATCGCAATGAGAACAATGAAGACGTGCTGGTTTTTGCTGAATATATTTCATGTATCGTCTACATTTACCACATCTGCTATGTGATTTACCAGAATCAGCTAATGACGAGAATGAGACTTCAAAAAGCGAGTCCATATTGGTGATATTTGTGACAAAATATTGGAACTTAAGTCGAAAGATTTCAATAGCATGCTTTAAAACAGCACGAAAATCAGCTGTGCCATGTGCAATCAAGTTTAACTGCTTTTCAAGAGCCGATCTCATTGTTGGCAAAACAAGTTCAGGATCAATCTTTTGATATCCATGAACCAACACAATTCCGAGAGTTGTTGGCTTTAAGCGACGACCAGCTTCAACAGAAACGTAATTTCTTTGTGTAATGTTATTAATATGAACGGGAATGCTCGCGTCAGTGCCAATTCCGTGCTTTTCCATTAAGGAGATTAAATCAGATTCCGTTAAGTAACTCGGAGGTCCAGTTTGACTCTCAATCAACTTAACATCCTTGATTAAAACACGATCGCCCTTATTGTATGGATTAGATAATTCATTTTTACCAAAGGCTTGCCATGTCATAACTTTTGTATATCCGGCATCAATGAGAACATTCGATGTGGATGTAAAAATTTCTCCATCAATAATAAACTTGGCTGTTGTGCTTTTATACTTAAGATCTCGCGAAAGAGTTCCAATAAAATGACGTACAATATAGTCATAAACTCTCCATGTATCTCCATCGAAATCAGACCTATTAGCCATCTTCATCGGCGTAATTGGAGGATGGTCTCCACAATCAGTTCCTTTTTTTGGCTGCACAAAATCATTCATTACATTTTTTGCTTCATCTCCATACTCATTCGATCGTTCAAATAATTTTAAAACTCCACGTAAATCGAAATTTGTTGGATATGTTGTAGTTTCAGTACGGGGATATGAGATGTAACCTTGAGTATACAGTTTCTCTGCAATTTGCATTGCAACATGTGGACCAATTCCTAAGCCTGACGATGCTGAACGCATTAATTCTACAGTATTCAATGCTAATGGTCTTGATTTAAAGTTATCTTTGGACGTGACACTTTCAACAATTGCTTCTTTTTGTTCCTTCACCATATTATAGAAAATCATGGCTACTTCTTTCTCAAAAATTCTTACACGCTGCCATTCAAGCTTCTGTTCTGGATCAACAGTCACTTGGACATACCAAAATGATTCAGGCTTAAATTGCTGAATTTCATCATGTCGTTGTACACAAAATCCTAATGTCGGTGTTTGGCATGGTCCGAAAGAGATTAAAGACGAATCTAAATCTCCATAACGGCCTTGAAAGAATTTCGTTTGAAAACGAGTGAACGCACATCCAATGCGTAAATCAAGCTCTTGTCGTGCATCAACTGATCTTGACTCATTTTCATTTGGAAATTGTAATGTTGCCATGGCATTCTTAATATCTTTTTCAGTAATGGCAGAAAACTTAGCACGAAAAGTAACTGATGTCGATCGAACATTTCTAATGCAACTGGATACAGCATCCATGACTTCAAAACAGATGTTTTCACCTTCTTTATCGCAATCGAGCCATAAAACAAGATAGTCACATCCTTTAGCTTCCGATGCAAGGAACTGGGGCATCTTTAACTTTGGTGTTGCATCCTTTTTCTCAGTTGGGCACGAAAACAAGTCAATTGGATCACATTTATCCCAAGAGTTAAATTTCCCAACGAAATCTAATCCACTGATATGTCCACAAACGCTTGTGAATTTAAACTTTGCTGACGAGTCACGAAATGTTCCTACCCATTCATGCACAGAGCAAGCTCCATTAAAGCCTGTAGACAGATAATCGTTTTAAATAATTAATTTTGATGCTTTTTGCTTAATTTATGACTTAAGAGACAGCCATTCAATTCTAGTGGATAATTACCTTTACGGGATGTAGCTTTTCCATTCGACAGGATATTAGCTAGCGATGCCGCCTACAATACATGATCCAGAGCAAGAAAACAAGAAAAAAATTATTTTCACAACATACCAAACGATAAAAAGTGCATTAACTCACCAAACTTGGCTTTTCAGCCACCATTAAAACAGTCTTCATGCTGGACGACTTATATCAAATCGCTTCTAGGAAATAAGTATCCCTTAAATATAGCTTAAATTCAGTTTTTCGCGTTTTGTTTATTTTTTTCGTTTTTGGAATCTGTTCAGAAGAAATATTTAAAACTCGTACCCCTCAGAAGAAAATCGGTATTTCAAATTTCAAGAATCGTACCCCTCAGATATAGCCGTTATTTTAAATTTTGCTAATCCCGATTTAAAATGTTGGATTAAATCACAGTCGGATTAATTTATCTTAAATTAACGACCGTAACATGTTGCTGTGTGTGTAAGATATGGGAAACAAGAGATATCTGGAGATAACAATTATTAGTGGAAGTGAAATTACCTCTCTTTGAATGTTGTTGTAGTGAATCTCGTACATTTTTCCTTAGTATAGGTATTGTAAATCAGTGTTGGAGGATGTAATTGCTAAAAGCCGGTAAGTCAATTGAAAGGCAAATAAATCTGTTCAAGGTGACCTATATATGTAAACAATTATATAATTACAATTTACATCAACACACCGGCTTTTTTTAATCTCATTAATAGTGCAGCATACTGCCAAACTATGCAGTATATGCTGTAGCATCAAGTCATATGCTCATGATTACATTAAATTGTTTGTGGAAAAAAACACATTTATTATGGACCAATATGAATGTGTTTTAAGCATCTTCTTCCCGTGTCCCGATCGTGTCGCGTGTGAGTGTTGTTAATATTTTCTTCTTTGAGCATTGTGTCATTCACACGACTGTATAAATTGATTTGTTTGTAACGAAAGAGCTCATTCCGTAAACATCGCTTAAGAGAGAAAGGTTCAATAGAGATCACACGACAATAATGGACAAGTGGCAAAATTCTGTAGCTATTGGTGAGTATCTACTGAACTGTTTTGTTATGATCAATCTCTCTAGCTTTATTTAAACGTGTACTTTATTGCGAATCAATTCGGTTTTATGAATTTTTCATAATTTCGTAATATTCTTATATGTTCCATACCTTTCTGGAATAATTTGCTAACGCACTTTGAATAGATTGATTAACTTGAAGTTATTTCTGAAAATATTCAAACTTTTATAAACTATTCGAAATTGTTTGCCTTTTTAATAGCTTTTTTGAGTTTACTCCAAACTGTCGCTGTTTTACTAACTTTGTTGATGACTTTCCACTGTGACTTGACTGGCTTATAAGCATAAAAACTTAAAATTTTGTTTCCATTCTTTAGTAACTGGCGCTAATTCTGGAATTGGATTCACAATCTTCAAGCAACTCGCTGAAAATGGAATTAAAGTTGTTGGACTTGATATTTACATTGAAACTATAAATAAATTAAAAACTGAGACGAAAAATGAAAACATTCATGCAATAGTCTGTGACATAACGAAAGATGATCAAACGGAAGCTGCATTTAAGTGGATTGAAGATACATTAGGTGGCGTTGATATTTTAGTTAATAATGCAGGAATATTAAGAACGATTGGAATCCTCGAATATGACAAGCCAATGAAGGAACTTGAATTTAATGTGAACATAAACTACACTGCTCATGTCCGAGTTTCACGTCTAGCATTTAAATCGATGGCAACTCGCGACAAATATGGATATATAATCAACATTAGCTCTGTCTGTGGACATAGTGTAGTTCCAGTAATGGATAACGGATCAATTGGCGTTTATAATGGAACTAAATATGCCATGACAGCTACCAATGAAGTAATGCGATTTGAATTGAACCAAATGAAGAATCGTAAAGTTCGCGTAACAAATATCGCACCGGGTGTTGTCTTGACAAATCTTTACAAAAATGCCGATGTCAAAGAAGATGATGAAGGTGCTGTGTACAAAAATCCTATTTTGAGAGCTAAAGATGTTGCTGATCAGGTTGTTTATTTGTTGACAACGCCGTATGAAGTACACATTACTAATCTTATTGTTCGTGCGACTGGAGCTGACTTGTAAATTTTTAATCTCAGAATTTTGGAGTATCCCTCTCTGAATACACAACAAATGAATCTCAAATTATTATTTTTTGATTAGGCATGCATTAATATGAGAATATTCTCAGTATTGCTTTCACTTTTAAAAAGTTGCAGTCTGTTTTCGACGGTCGTTGATCTTTAAATGTTTATTTTATTTTTATATTTTCTGTAAATTCAGGGAAATTTTTGTAAAGGATAAAAAAGTCATTGAATGTCAGTTGTGTATGATTGTTGATAAATAAAGGAACGAAAGTTACATAAAATAATTTCTATTATTTTATTTATTAATCTAGCAATTTCATTATTAATAGCTGCAATACATCTAAAAATTAATATGTGTATATTTTCCATGATTCTTTATTCAGAAGGTCTAATCTTCCTTTGTTTCTCTTTATCAAAATATGCTAGTATCATTTTTTATATATCAGTTATTCATTCTCTTTCGCAAAATTCTTGTCATCAAAAATGTCTTTTATATTTGTGTATAAATACTATCAATAAAATTTTACAAAAAAACTTTATTTCATCTGTTCATTTTTTTATTATTTTTTTTCTTCTTTTTTTGTAAATTTGACACAATTTTATTTAATTCACTTCCATAAATCTCATTGTTCTCGTTTATCTCAATTATCTCTCGTCAAAGAGACATTCAAATTCGTGATATTATCCAATGATAAATTCCGGATTAACCACTGGCACATCATCACTTATCATCCACGTGAATGTAAATTTAACGGACTTTTTGAAATTATTAAATGACGTGAAGTTGTAAGCATTTTCAGAATTTAAAGCCAACTTCAGTTTAAACATTTTAAATTATTGAAACCCGTTAAAAACGTATTTTTTAAACTCATTGTGTGAAGTGAAGTTGGCTCAAAGTCAACGTTTGATAATTAAATGTTTTTAAAAATATCCGTTAAAAATGAGACACGTGCGATAGGCAAAAGTTTGATATTTTTAACAGTTACAATGAGAATAATTATTGATGCTTACAAATTAACATTGATTTGTATTTTTTTAATCATTGAACATTAATAAATTCATTGTATTCTGCTTATTCTTTCTTTTGTTTTTGTTATGTATGTATATATAGATAAACAATTTACTATTTTCCTCGTTTATTATCATGAAAAATGAAAAAATCTTACAAAATCTCTTCTTGCTTTCATTTCTCGTTCTATAAAAAGTATTGTCTGTAAACAACTTGGATGTGGCCAAAAATAAAAGAAGCTTGATATTATTAAAGTATATTAATAGAGGCATGGAACAAGATTATAAAAAGAAGTATGAAGAGAAAAATTATTATTATTATTCTTAATAAATGCATAATACTTTGTTGTGTGATTTTTTATTACACTTATTTCAAACTGTCATAAAAAAGAAGGCGTGAGTAAGTGAGTGAGAGAGAAAAGATATGAATCCAATGAATATTCAAATGATATGCACAGAATAAATTGAATTAACGTTAAAGTTGCTTTTTTCTGCGCAAAGGTCTGTACGTTTATGTAAATTTTCTTTATCATTGTGCTTTAATGAGGAATTTTTTCTCATCAGTCTTTAAGCATAAAAGTTTCCATTCATTCATTGTGATATTGTAGTTAGATATGATAGAGAATAAATGCTTTCTTAAATGTGCGGGCAGAAAATAGATGTACATTGATTACTCAACGCATTCTTTCCATAATAACTACTATATGATCTAGCTTCAATGATCTCCGTAATCAAGATTCAGTGATGTAAGCATATAAAATACAGTCTATATCGATACTAACTGATGAGTAATGTTCAGCTAGTACACACGTCTGTGATCACAAAAAAAAATATAATTTATTAACGGCCAAACATATTCTCTAATGGTCTTGAATTTAAGAATTTAGATTATTGTCAAAATTTAAAGTCAAATTAAATTTGTAATATTCTGACTAATTTAGATCAGTAAACAACTGAATGAGTAGTCAGTATTGCTGTTCATAATTTTTTGGGACCCAGTCATCAATTCAACTTAAAACTTGAATCATTTTCCGTCTAAATTTTTGTATGCTTACATTAAATCATCTTAATTTTATTACTGCTATAATACAAAATAGTGAATCCATTAAAGTTGCTCCTTAATCGCTGTTTTTAAGCAGTTTATCCAGCAAAGATGCTAGTTGTCACACAATTTGCACAATTCCGTGGGAAGCTGAACAGCTTTTTTCAATAAATTTTTTATATCTTAATTAATAACCTTTTTTTATGACCCTGTGATTTTAATCAAATTGACTCTAGAATTTCTATTCATTACTTTCAGCACATTGTAGTTTGCCTCTCGGTTTTGTGTGCTTTTCGACTTTGCTTAGCTATTATTAAAGTACATTTTTATATGAATAATAATAGGAATGACAAATTAAAAGAATAGTCACAAAACTTTATCTTCTTCTATGGCATGTATGTATGTTTTGTATTACATTTTTAGAGAAACGGATTCATAAATGAATACAAAAAGTTTAATATGAAAAAGTGTAAATTTATCACAATGAATTTCACTAGTAAGAAGTTCGATTAAAAGTGCAAGTAAATAATTGTCATCGTTAATTGTATTGAAGTAAAAAATATGTAATTTATAAAATTAAAACATAAAGCAGTGTTTCTTAAGCTTTAGACCTTCGGACATGCTTCAAAGAGTGTGTTCTTAATTTTTATGAGAATCGATGAAGATGTTGATGAAAAAGGCCCATTGCCTAGAGCTTGAGAACCACTGACATAAAGAAATTCATGGAAATATTTTAGAAAGAATGTTGATAGTCGGGTTAAACACTTCATACTTTCTATAATGGTGTTCATGACATTAAAATGAACTTAATCTTTGACCTTAAATTATAAATATTTTTTAAATGTTTACTCATAAATTGTGAACTTTAACGGCTTTGTTGATTTATATTTTTTTTTCTGATGTCTTTATCGACATAATGAAATTTACGGGACTAAAACGAAATGTGCCGATTAAACATTAAAACTTTTATACTTCCTTCTTTTCCAATTCTCTCGATGATTCTGATGAACAAAGCACATTATTCCAATAACAACATTTTTACTACTGGATTAGTAGTATGAAAATAATTCACACGGATGACTTTTAAAAAAGTCCACAATCTTTTAAATTATTTTTAATAATTACGTCTGTTACTGCATCAAAGACAAACTGGATGTTGTTTGTATCCGTGGCACATGTTAGATGGGTGTATATCTCTTTCTGATCTTTTCGTTTATTGAGATTCTCGAATTTCATTCTTATATAACTCGACGCTTCCTCGTATGTGTTGGATCCTTAAAAGAGATATAAGTTTGTTAACGAGCTTCTAATTTTTAAACTTTAGCGGTTTTAAGCTAACTTCAAGTTATACAGTTCAAATTTTAAATATCCGTTAAAAGAGAAGACATTTACCTGTATATTCTGGGAAACAGATGGTGAGTGGCGATCTCTGGATTTTATCTTCGAACAAGTCCTTCTTATTCAAAAATAATATAATTGATGTCTCCACAAACCATTTCGAATTGCAAATTGAATCAAATAATTTCATTGATTCTATCATTCTATTCATTTCCTCGTCTTCCGCAAGCACCAAATCGTAGCCTATACACATAAAGAGAAAACGATAATTATTTATAATGATCGTTATTATTTTCACTTTCATGATCATACCTGATAATGCTACACAAAAGATAATTGCTGTTACACCTTCGAAACAATGTATCCACTTTTTACGCTCGGATCTTTGTCCACCGACATCAAACATTCTATAAAAGGAAATGCATGGCATGTGAGAAATTGAAAGACAATAGACGGAAATGAGCCACAACTTACTTAAAATGTAATCCTTTAAAGCTAAAATGTGTCTCTACAATTCCTGTCGTTTTAACTCTCGTCCTAAGAACGTCTTGCTGTGTCGGCACATAATTTGGCTGTGATATACGATCCAGACTGTTAAGGTAGTATGCAGCAGAGTCATTTAATTGATATTCTCTTGAACGTGCAAAGCATTGTTGAACGCCGGCATCAGACCACAATTTCTTCATTAAATTCACAAGCTCGAGAGTTAATTCGCCTTCTTCTGCCGCACTCGCATATGTGAAAAATTGTCTAGCTATATCCGTCTTTTGTGGGTCAGCAAAATCTATACGTAATTGACCCATCGCACGAATTATTGCCATTAAACTCTGAATCGTGTTACTATAGACAACAGGTCTGTATTGTTCACATTCTTCCAATGAATATCCCGTTTCATGGATAATTTTCATCTGCTTTACAATCGTTGATTTACCAGATTCACCGGCACCTTAAAAGAAAAATGATTAAATTACAAAATTAGTATTGTGAAGCATTTAATTTCAATCATATGGATAGATAGATATTGCTTAATCACTTATGGACAGTAAATTGAGGGAGTCATTTAATTGTTGCGTCTGGGAGTTCTATTTTATGTTGGGTGCTTAAGGTTTTTAAGCACCAACATTTCAAAGGTTAAAAAGCAGCATTTTAATATCCAATTACTCCATTTTCATCATAATTGATTCCACCTACACTCATTTTCTTAGACGCCATTCATGAATAACCCCCCTCTCGAGAGATCAAAACTTTCAATTGGTGTCAATTAATGGAATCCAAATTGGAACTGACAGAATTGTGTTTATTTTAGTTATCACCATCGTAAGTGAGGTCATTGAATAAATGTCAAATAACGAGCAACTCTCCTACTTCATTCATAAAAATTTCATTCCAATTTCATTCATAACATTTGCTGTATGACTATCTCTTTCCAATTCCTTTCATTCAATGAACGTAATATTTTTATTGCCAAATCTTTTCCGCTTTTTTTATATTCATCATTCAAGCTAGCTCGTCTATCATATTCATTCATACAACTTTTGCTGTTAATTGTTCGGAACATAGAAAAATAATGAATAATAAGAAGGAGATAATCGACTTTATGAGAGGAACTCAAAAGAAATTTAATTATTATTATCGCACGCTCATGTCAGAAATGTGATTTGTTCCATTTAATTATTCAATTAAGGCACAGAATGTCGCAGAATAAATGAAATTCTTTAAAATATTAAGTAATTTCTCTCTGTGCTTGCTGCTCTCGCTTCATAATTCTTTAAATGTGGATAAATTTGCACATTTTTCCGGCTTATTAGTTGGCAACAAGTGGCTACCACATGTGCTTGCTCATATTTTATGAGTGTGCTGCATTTTCAAAAATGTCTATGCCCTTTTACATTTTGTTTTCTTATTTTTTTTATGGATATAAAAAAAAAATCATACGGAACATTGCCATTGCTTCTTGTATTGGCCATAAATAAATGTGTTAAACAGATATTTAGGAAATTCTAATGTCTTGTGGATGCAATAAACATAAATTAGCTTTTTTATTGGCTTTACGATTTAAGGATTTATTTCAAGGTTTATTTTAAACTTGATAAGCATCAAGTATACCCCTGAACTATATTAATGTAAGCACACTACAAGTTTAATCTAGGAAAATCACGTAATTGCGAAAAGGCATCGATTCATTTAAAAAGCACTTATTTAGGATATTCAGTAATAAAAGCGAAGCCAAAAGTTGAGGCTAAAACCTTTTCAACTGATAAATCTACTCAATTTGCTGTTTTTAAAAACCATCCCATGCTCCTTTAACTCCTCCGTTTAGTCCACAGTATTGTGTTTTACTGACATTCAAAAATTCAAATAAAGTTCTACCAAATATAAACTTCAAAAGATCGTTAAATTTGAAATTTTGAAAAGACGTTAAAATACCAAGAATTCCACAGCTTTATAGAACTAGCTGGATTATGGAATTGATTAATATGATCAAAGACTAAGAAACTATAAAACTATGCAGACTAGATTTGATTCAAAAGGTTGTGGATCCTTTATTGCTTTACGCAATATCATTAAAAAAACAAAATACATTCAAAGAAACTAATTTATCCAGAAGCCACACTCACAGACCTACCCAAACCATACACATATCCATTCCTACACAATTCCAGCAAATATGATCAATAATAAAATCATAAAATCACTCCCAATCAAAAGTAAAACAGCCAAGCCCTCTCAAAGTACATTCTCATGGAAGTCGGATATGTTTACATGTTTTTGGAACTAAACTCGTAATTATGAAGACTAATAATTAAAGTGTGTGTATGTGCCATAATGTTATGACGAAATGAGCATGTTTAAATGAGAAAGAATTTTTTATATATTTTATAATGTAATCAAATTGACATAGTACGTTACTGATAATAAAAAAAAAATGAATAGAACTTATTGCTGATATTTGCAGCACGAGGATGGATAAAACATACAAAATGAAAGTCAAGTTTCATTTGTTCCATACAAGCCGCAATTCAATTGTTTTAGTGTTGTACACTCATGTATGTGGGGAAGAGCTGTGTGCTGATTGACTGACTGAGAGCTATAAAATTGTTTTTTTCCTCTTTGGATATATTCCAAATTTAATTTTGTAATACATTGATTGACACTTTTTGACACAGTCAGCAAAAAAAAAAACTGCTACCGTTCTATAGTTGACTGAACAAATAATGAATGATATCAAATGAATATGAAGATGGTAATGGCATGTGACGAGTAATAAGTTTGTCACTAGGTGCTGGAATGTCTATTTTTGTCGAAATTTTCAATGCCTTAATTATTCAAAAAGGGCTTTTATTTTTAGTAAATTCAATAGTTATTACTGATGACGTACATCATGTTTTCTGTGTGATCTTAGAAAAAGCAAGTAAGCGTTATCAATAAAAATTCGTTCAACTTGCAATCTTTATTTATTTCTTGCTCTTAACTACATAAATTACACAACAGAATCAATTCATTTTTTTGCAATTGCTATTTTTACATTCACATTCCCATGTCTTATTGTTATTTTTGGTTCGCAATGTTAGGTGTGAATGAATGGAGTCAATTTATGAAATTAATTTATTTAAATTTCTGTCATTATTAATAGAAATACTTTTGAGTCATGCACGTATGTGATTATAAGAACCAAAATTGTGAAAAATATTGAAGAACATTAATGATGTATTCTTAAAATGGATTAGCAAACTTTTTAATTGACATCCATAAAGTTGTTGAAAAGTATTTTGAATTGTAACGAACATTAAAAATTCAAATTAAGTTTTACCAGTTTTACCAAATTTAAATTTTTGAAGACCGTTTAAGTCTACCGAGTTATGAATTTCCAAAAAAAGCGTTAAGTTTTAGTTCTACCAAATTTAAATTCAAAAAACCATTCGATTTTAAATTTTCAAAAGCCGATAAAAATGCTAAGAATTATGAAGAATGATTCAGAGCTCCACAACTTCATTAAAAAAACACCAAAATGAAATTAACATCCAATTAATACCCCTCAAAATACGCAACAAATTGAAATTGATTTAGAATTCCCAATATGTACATTTTAAATCCGTTATAATGTAGATTGTTAAAGTATTTAAATTGAATTCAATTTTTTGCAGGTAACAGCTGAGAGATTAGATGAAAATTTATGGAAGGAAAAGAAATAAAAATCAATCGGAACACGAAATTATAGATGAAGCGATGATGAATCAGCTACATTAATTAAAGTCTATTTAGATATTTCAAAATGTATGAATTAATTTTTATTGTTGTAGATCTTTGAAAATATCGTGATTCACAACTCAAAAGCAAGCAGGCAAGAAAAAAATAGTTGAGTAGCAATCTCTCAAGTCACTTTTGTGAAAAATAATATGGCAAACCTATTAAAATACTTTTTTTTTTAATTATCCACAAACAAATTATCTTCTTTCATTAGTGTCAATCTAGTTCACGAATATTGTCATGTATAAAATAAAAATAAAATTTTTTCCTCCAGCAAGAGTTTTGCACAGTAATTAATTTATATGTTTTTCTTTGACGCAGGTCAACTAATCATCCCGACCTCAAAGATTATTTTTATTGTCTATTTTTATTAGTACATTTTTTTATTGCCATCATTATTCATTCCACATTATCAAGAAACATATTTTTGCATATTTAATCGATAGAAGGGGATATGGATGTCCGCATTTTGTCTGTAAGAATTATTATCGGTAAGCTGTACTGTCTATAAAATGTCTGCAAGATCTTGTAAAAAGTTGTCGAAACAAAATTTCGTTGTGGAAGTTTTTAGAAATTTCAAATCTTATTTCACCGTAATTTTTTAAATATTTTCCAACCATTAAGGCTCAAAAAAAAATAATTAAATGAGTTCAAAATTTCTAAGTCGCTTTAAACAGTCACTAGTGACCATGACTACAATACTTTTCTCCTTATCTGTTGCAAATTTTTTCATGTTTGTATATCAAGTGTACCGACGACTTTAACCTCTTCCTTAATAAACAAATCACCCACAAAATAAGCATTCGAGGTAATTGGATTGTAAAGAGAAATGCGGTATTATTCATCATAATTTCATCATCACCTTTTAAAAATAACAAAAAATGTTATTGTATGTAAAAATATTAAATTTCTCCCGTCTCTATATCCACATTTTGCATTTTACGATCGATTTGACGGAAATTCGTCAAGTACGAGGGCCGTAAGAGTCATACAAAGCACAATTGAACCATGAAAAAAATTATTATTATGTGCTTAAGGAATCCCAATGTGTAAGAGAATCGTCACACATCTAGTCTATTATCCATGGAATGAGAAATTCATGTAAAATGCATGCAATAAAGGAGGAAAAAATCGCATTAGTCATAATAATTACAAATGAAATTCTTGAGAACTGATGCCTACTAATAATCTTTTGCAAACAACACGGGCGCTACACAAGAGAAAAATAGTATGGAAAAAAAATATGCGAATGAATATTAAAACGGAGTTTAATTGTTTCAATGTACAGAAACAGAAGTTGATGAAATAGAAAGAAGAGGAACAGACAAAAAAGAAAAAAATAATAATTTAAAGTAAAAATAGATCTTTTTTCCCACATTCGAAATTAAATTATGAAAACCAACTATGTACGTATGTAGACTCTCTCTTACTCTCGTACTCATCTGGATGGATAATGCTGAAATGGTGTCTTTAAAGAAACCTCAAGAGATTGTTATTGTTATTACAAGCAGGCATTACCTCTCTCTTTGTGTGTAAAAATTATAGTAGTCGGAAACGGTAATAATGTAGGCGAAATAATTACTTAAAGCTATTTTTCTAAGGTCTCTCTACCTCTAATTGTCATTACTTCTGAACCTATCCCAAGCAATTTCCTTTCATTGCCATAGACAATTTATTATTGCATTAACAAGAGCAGCAGCAGCAGAAGATAACAAAGAAAGAAGGAAATGATGTCGTAGTAAAAAAGTGAAATTGCGGCACCTCCTCTATGGACTATAGAATAAATTTTATTTAAGTGGACAATTCGCATGAGCCACAGCATTAACAAATATCAAGCAACAATGATAAATAAGCGGAAAAAGTTGCATGAATATTTTTGAATTAGAATCACGTATTGTCTCTAACTCTTTCTCTCTTCACTGACTGACTGACTAACTGCTGTGAATACGAAGAAACAATTGTTATAATAATAATCTATAGTCACACACAAAATATACATGCATGAATTAAAGTATGATGGATATTTTTTTTTTTCATTACTTATCTGTCAATAATAAGTACGAAGGCATGACTGACTGAATGTTTTGTACCATATCAGTTAAGAGTTTTTTTAATCATAGACCATACAAGCATGTACACACATTCATAGTGTAATGAAGCACAATCTATTCATAATAATGATTCTGAATGCAGCAAAAAATAAAGAGAACTTCACACATCCGTCCCGTCCATCAATTTACATCCAGCAAATCATTGCTGTTTGGAAATTTCACAAATTACATTGAAAAACAAATGTTTATGCACTTCAGAATAGTCACACGACCGACCGTTATCCATGATTTTTTATATTGTGATGTCACCGCACCAATTTTACCACTACATATACAAATAGTATGGAATAAAATAATCAGACGCGATGAACACCCAGTTCTTGTTTCTTAATCATTGTCGGCTGATCAAATAAACTTCCCATAATTTCACTGTCTTATTTACTTAAACTTTACATACCTAAGAGCAACAGTTTGACTTCCGATGTGAGCTTCTCTCCATCAAGTCTCAGAATCTTATCGATTTGTTTACTACGAGTTATAGCTTCCTTTTGATTTTTTGAATTAATACAACCCATTTTGAAGCACTATTTCTTTTGTCACTATCCTTTAATATTATTGATAATCTGAGACACAAGTTTATTTCTATTAAATAATTCACAGCGATATTAATCGTCAATTTGATTTTCAGCACTTAATTCACTTTTTGACTTCTTTTTCTGGATCTCTCAAATAATGCTTAAAATCCGTAAGATTTTTTTTTTCTTGGGAAACTTGTAATTTAATGTTTGTAAGAAAACTAAAATATTTTTCATAAAAACTCCATCGCTCCGATTATTATCTGTTCACTATTAATCATTTTCCACTCGTTTTTCTAGCTTTAATCATGAAATGATATGAAAAAAATGACTTAAATTAATATTCCTAGTAGCAAAAACGCTTTTTGAACCGAGTCGTTATTTATGGGTGCTGAATAATCGTTAGAAATGGTTTTTTGTCAGTTCTAGTCGAAATGCGATACTATCCACACTTTGTCCAGTCTACTTATCCAGTATGTCTTATTACACATATACTTCCAGTCTAATTAAAGTTTGTTTGGTACAGGACTAGACTTTTGAAAGAATTTTGGAGCTGTTCACTTATTTCAATAGTTTTGGCTGTTGGAAATCAAATTAGACTTAATTTGCTAGCTGAATACCTGAATTTCAGCTTAAAAGATCTCCTGATATACCTTAAAATGGAATCGACGTTAAATCAGACTAAAAGTTAATATTTTGGTTCTTTGTGATCTTACAACACAAAAATGCGCTTCTGTACAATATTATTACTGAAATTATTTACTTTTTCTATGTTTATTGACATTCCCCTCTGCAGATTTTTAAATTTTAAAAGACTGTTGCATTTTTCTATGTTTTTTAAAATTAAACTTTTAAGATTACGTCCACGTGCGAATAAACTTAATTAATAAAATAGCAATGTTATCTATGAAAATGCAAAATTTGTTACAATTAAGGAACTTGACATAAGAATTTAAATAAGAGATCCAGTAGCTTTTTGCAAGCGTGCAACTTTATTAATTATCTGTTGCACAATCAATCATCACTGAAAGTCTCGTGAAACGATTCAGTCTGAAATCAATCTTCGTCCGAGACATACGCGCGCGAGCTAAAGATCTCTTGATACTCGTTACAGGATTTAATAATTAACTAAATTGGTCATTTGTGTATGAAAAGAATCTCTTCGAATAAATGCAAGAGAAGTGATAAATTATTATGAATTAAGTACGCGATACATATCTTATCATAAAATTACAATTCTATTTTGCTTTCAATTTATACAAACTCTACATATACTTAATTCTCGTACACATATTATAGAAAGTAGAAGATATCATATTGTGAAAATGTCATGTGCGTGAATCACTTATTAAGAAATAACCTCGCGGGTGACCCTAGACATTCGGTGATTCTCAGTCTTTTACACATCTTCTTTTCTCAGCAGCATACTTTAATAATTGATGGCAATTGATTTTCGCAGATAAATTAATTAAATTTAAGAGTGGCTCTATGTTGGGGTCGGTTTTTTGGATATGCATACCTCAAGTTTATGATGAATTCAAGCTAAGATCATTAAAAGTGGGATTCAGCAAGTTATTAAGGGTTAATATGTCTGGTCAGAATCAAAAATTTGTAGACTTTTTAAAACAATTGAGCATAGACAGAGACTTGAATAACTTTACATCTTTTGAAAATTTCTTCCCCCCCCCCCCCCCCCCCCCAAAAGGGGAAACCCCAAAAAGGTCTGTCTCCTGATACAGCTTAGCTACCGAAAGAACAAAGATGAACGCAAACGTGCATCAAAAGTTGTATTTGATGTTTTGATTAACTAGAATCTCATGTTCCATGTTTAAACAAAAGAGTCATTTAATACTTAATTTAACTTGTGCTATAAACTAACATTCCCAATTTAAGTTTGCAAATCAGCGAGGTTAAAGGAAGATCCTACATGATTGACAGTAAAAAATATTAAACTTAAATGAATAATAAAAATATAAATTAACGTTTTAATAAATGATGGCTATTAATTGATCTGACAATTGTCATTCGACGCAACTTAGACTGCAGCGAATAATGCAAGCAACCAATGCTAATTATAGTATGGGAAGTTATTCGTTTATCGTATAACATTTGCATTAAACTTGACCCCAAAAGTCTTGTCATTAATTAGTATCTTTCGGAAAAGTGATTTAAGTGAAACGTTTTGTACATGATGTCGATTAGACATTTAAGATTTATGAGAATTGCAACGAGATAGCTTATTGTCTCTCTCTAATTTATTCAGTTCTAAATCAAAGATAAATTTAATATTCATAAGAATTTGCAAAAAGACATGATCACGTTTCAGTGTAAAAGTATTGACACTTGAATAAATTAGAAGCATATATGCATTAAGTAATTTGATAGTAAGTCAACGTTTTTGCCGAATATGACGTATTTACTTTTACGTAATCTTTTCTATACTTTAACTATGTGTGCGGAATTCCCATGTGCTCGATAGGGTTGAATCAGTTTACATTTAATAAGAAATTTTTTAATCGTGGCTTAATTATAGACATGATCAAGTTCTCTTGAAAGACAATTAACATTGAATTACAAGCTTGAGGGTCGTTAATAAATGACGTCGTTATTCTTGATCTGCTTGTTTGAATAATTGACCTAAATCTCCAAACGGATGGGGGGGGGTCTGTAAAAACAATAAACCTGATTGACTTCATTTATGCAGAAGATCTAGCTTATATTAACCCAAAAGTAATCTTAAATTACAAAAGCAAACAAATATTAATAATATGAAAAAGTGAATTCACTTTTACGCGAAGTGCAATAGAAATTGCATAAAAGTTTAATCTTAGGAAATCAACAGAAACCAGTTTCTCTCTTTCTCTATTAATATTCCATTCAATTCATTCAGCTGTGCTATTTATTTACAGATATTTCTATGCATCTTACTACTTTAGACGAAAGTAAAAGTGTTTTCTACTTCTTTCTCTACCTAAACGTATGATCATCATTTATATTGCAAAATGCGACAGAGTGTGCAAGTCAACTTAATTTTTCTCTTAGTCGGTGCCGTTTTAATCGTAATCGGAGGATGTATTTTAATTTTTTGGCCAGCGATCTTCAAATCGTTTCTTAGTAAGGTAATGTGATATTATGAGTAGAAGTTGTTTGGACTAAAGCCGGCAAATGGATTTTTGATACTCATGAAGAGTGATACATTAATACCAATGTTCATTATTCTGTAATCATAAATTCAATTGTGCCACTTGAAACAGTCTTAAGATGACATCATTTTGGATATAACCCTAAATATCGTCTTAGCACTCTACTAAAGCACAATAAGCAGTATAATAACAGTTTGTTTAATGTTTTTAGGAACTGATGATTGACGAGAAATCTCAATCATTCAAAGAATGGAAGAGTCCAAGCATAGAACTATACTTTGATGTTTATTTATTTAATTGGACGAATGCTGAAGATTACACATTCCCAGAATTTACCAAACCTATTTTTGAAGAACTTGGTCCTTATCGTTTTCGAGAATATCGTGATAAAACAGATCTGAAATTTCATCAACACAACTCAACTGTTAGCTATAAGCCATTCAGCACTTACATTTTCGATGAACAAGGGAGTAAAGGTTCATTGGATGACGTATTAACGACTATTAATGTGGTTGCTGTTGGTGCTGTAGCTCAGTCATTAAAAATGGATTATAACCACAAAAAACTTATTTCTATTGCACTTAATGGATATGAAGAAGAAATTACTGTGACTAAGTCAGCTCGTGAACTTTTGTTTGAAGGTAAGCTAATCTATAAAATATTTCTTTGGTTGTAGCTAAAGCCGATCAGCATATTACGACCACGTGATGATTAACATTGCTGACATGATGCAATAATTTTTATAAGATTGCAGCCATTTCTTTAATGTGCTGCTCTGATATCCATAAAGTTCAAAGTCATTAACTACTCATTTCAGGCTATGAAGATAATATGGTGCTGATGGGGAAAGCAAATCTAATTGAAGGTTTTAATATCAGTCACATACCGTACGATAAGATAGGATTTTTCTATATGGTAAGCAAAAATTTTGATATCTTTATTGCCTCTTTGAGATAATCGCGTTCCATAAAACATTTGAAGCGAAATGCAAGCACAGCTTTAAGTGGAATGCACAATGTTCATACAGGAAAGGATGATTCATCGAAGTTGGGAACAATCCAAAACTATAAAGGAAGTGATTTCAGCAACATGTATGGTGGAGAATGCTCGAAAGTTAAGGGATCACCTGGTGAATTATTTCCACTTGATCAACAGATAGTGACACTATCAATATTCACACCTGACATGTGCAGATCACTTCCATTTGATTTTGAGAGAGAAGTTGATGTTTTTGGAGTCAAAGGATATCGATACTTAGCTGGTGAAAGGTTGATTGATAATGGAACCAAATATCCAGAAAATTTATGTTACAGTGAAGGAAGTGAAAGAACTTACCCGTCTGGTGTTTTTAACTTATCTGCATGTCGTTTTTCATCACCCGTGTTTATGTCATATCCACATTTCTATGGTGCTGATGAGTACTACTTGGATCTTGTTCAAGGACTCGAACCTAATAGATCCAAACATGAGTCTTACATTACACTGGAACCTGTAAGACAATTTTTAATTAAGAGAAATAGATTTCTTTGCTACAATTAATTTGTACCTTCTAGATGACTGGAGTTCCATTAGAGGTAGTTATGCGATTTCAACTGAATTTCTTATTAAAAGACTCCGAAGACATCGCCCTTTTCCAATCTTGTCCCACAACTTTCATACCAACATTGTGGGTGGAACAAAAGTACAAAATTGACGAAAAAATGATTGACGAACTTAAGATTGCAGTTAAAGTTCCATATTTTGGTAGAATTGTTGGGTTGATTATTTTTGTGCTTGGAATAGTATGTGTACTTATTACGATCATAATCAAATGCATTACAAGGCAGACACTAAAGGAAGCTGATGTGAATTTACCTGAAATAAAAGGAGAAAATAGAAAACCGAAGGAGAGATCCTCACCATTGCTTACTGATGGAAAATTAAGACAAAACATTAAGATTCAGAAAATGGATCAGCAGGTTGATTAATAAAAGATCTGTAAAACACAAATCCTTACTATAAGATCCCACGGTTAAAAGTAAGGATTTGATTAAGAACATTTAATTGTAGAAATATTGAGTCCACTTTGAAAGATTATATCTAGTACATTATATTTATTTGATCATCATATTTATACGTCCAAAATGTAAATTTTACAATACAAAAATCATTACATTTACTTCAACGTAATAAAATTATTGACCTGACCTGAGCAGTTTTTAAAATAAAATAAATATAAATAATAACAAATTTCAGGAAATTTTATAGCTTCTTTCTTTGATAAGCTGGATTTATTGCTGGCAAGACGACTAACAAAATCAACATCAAGAATGTAAAAGCGATTGCTTTATAAATCACGATTGATAGTAAAACCTTGATTAAAATTTCTGACCTAAAATCAGGTGGTCCATTCTCATCCATTTGCATACTTTCCATTGGTTTCATCATTATCGCATTTGGTGCTGATATGTTTCTTAAGAATAAGTAAGGAGATCCAGCTGGTCTTTCATAAATCACCAATTCTTTTGGATTTTTTGATGATGTAGGTTCTGAAATATTGCTAAAGTAACTGTATTTAGTTCCAGTTGGTATTTCAAGTTGACTAATTTCATCTTCTATATCACATGAAATTTTTGCAATTGCAATCAGAAGTAACACAATTTTGTTGATCATTATTCGATGTCTTGAGGTAAACTATCTCAAAAATTAGTTGAATGTTCCTCAAAACAAAAATTAATGAATAGTAAATTTTCTAGAGCATGAAATGATGATTCATGCGCGTGAGATGATTTTCTCTTCTCCGTTCATTCTCTCTTATGAGTTACTCACGAAAAGGCGGGATTAATGTATTCAGTGATTTATGGATATATGTATAATCCCTCCTTCATCACAACACATTGATAGATTCTAAAAAGAACTTGCATATGCATCAATATTTGTGTAGTAATGTTTACAATTTTGTTAATATTTGCAGGAATAAAAAAATCAGACTGAATGAAAGGATTTACGATAGACATTGCATAGCAAATCTCATATCACCAAAATATTTACAAAATGAACTTGCCGAATTTTTAAATATTTTTGTTACTATCAAACAATCTTTCTTTTAATTAAACATTCTCAACAGTGAAGAGGTAACATGATCAGCTACGCTTGGGGGATTCCGATGGTCGATGTGAATAAGTCTGAATTTTATAAACTCTCTGGTCTGGAAGATTTCTTTTTTTTTTTTCACTATGTATTAATGTTTACTAAATTGTAGGCAAATTTACATTAAAAAGGGGATTCCGTAAACAAATTTTTCAATTCTCAAACAAAATCCCATACAGATGATCAACTTATAAATATTTAAATATGTGAAAAATAAAAGTTTGTGGACTCATTAAGATCATTAACATCAGCTGATTAGAAATAAATAGTTGATTTTTCTTTCAACTAAAATGTTGAGCTTAATGTTTGGTACTTTTGAATTTGAGAAAAAAAAAGTTTCAAATTATTGAATTTATATTCTAAAGAACTTTAAATTTATTGCACGATAGTTGATCAAGATTCTAGAAGCTAAAACTAGTCCAGAACATGGCAATGTGCGGAGATAACATTTGAATTTATATTCTAGAGAACTTTAAATTTATTGCACGATAGTTGATCAAGATTCTAGAAGCTAAAACTAGTCCAGAACATGGCAATGTGCGGAGATAACATTTGAATCCCAAAATTCTGAAATAGAAAATCTAGTAAATAATTTCTAGAGGCAAGTTTTGTCAATTCTTAATAAGAGCTGTCAAAACAGCGAAAGAAGCAGCAATTCAATCCTTTTTCACAGAAATGTTAAGTCTCAGATTTCATTCAACCCACGCTACATAACAACTCTGAAAACTACACAAAGCACGACTTTACTTGTCCTTTTATTCTCCATTTATGTTACAGAAAATTTCATATTTAATGTCATGGATTTGAAATGTTTATAAGCCATTTAAATTGAAGCTTATGATCTTTTGCCGTCGTTTGCATCATTTCATTAGCCAACATATTGAATCTCAAAGAAATGAAGCATAGCAAGAATAGTAATTGACTTCATCATGATGCTTTCTTCCTCGACTTTTGGTTCTTGTAATGTAAACAAAATAAAAATTAATATGAATATCTTTGAACTCGTTTCGCCTCAAAAACACATTGCATCCATTAAGTTTTTAAAATCAATTTTTTTTTCTTTCTCTCTTAATTAATTTCACATTGCAATATATAAAGCGGATATCGATAATTAATTTTCGTGTTTTTCTTTCGTTTTATTTTTAAAGTGTGAAAATTTTATTCCTCTTCCTCATCATCTGAATCATTTCTATCTCCAGATCCTTCATCATCATCATCATCATCGTCGTTTTCATAGAAACTTTTTCTCAATAAAGTATTCCTGATTGTCGGGGAAATTTTATCGATCATAAATTGCAAATTAAATTGAGTAGAGTTTGGCAGAAAACGTTCAATTAATCTGAAAAAAGTTTTGATAGAATCAAATAATTTTGATGCTTAATATGCTTACTTATCATATGGATAAAGTTGATCAATGACATCAAACATTCCTTGAAAGCGACAATAGGCATCATGTTCTGCTACGCACCACACCATCAAAGGACTTGTAAATGCTTCCGTGGAATGTATAAAGAAGTTGTAGCGCTCAATGGAACGATAATCAGTTTTGTCTATATTAGAATCAATATTGTGTGATCAATATTGTGCAGTGTTTTGCTTCAAAACCTACATAAATCACTTACTTATAAATGAATAAAGATCCAAATCATCTCTTTCAGTCAAAATTGTTTCCGAATTTCTCTCATGAGAATTCATGACTGGCAAAAAGAACAAAAATCCAATAATGATGAAAAACTTTGTGATTTTCTTGAATGTGATGAGTTTGAAGATTACTTTTAATATCCTGGTCAAGTCATTTCTTGTTGCAAATTGATCCAGCAAGAACTTTTGTTGATCTTTACCAATCATTTCATGAAAATTGTGTCGGGTTATATTTGGATTAGTTAAGACACTCAATAGATTGAGAATAGAACTATATTTTTGCTTCATATTTTCCACAGGAATAAAGTCTTTTATGTCGTAACTTTCCACAATGAAAGTTTTAAAAATTAGCAAAACTAAAATTACTCGCATTTTCCCTGAGATTTGTCGAGCTTATTCAATGACTGAAGATACACTAACTTTTTAATTCATCAATTTTTGTCAGAATCGTGCTTTCATTAAGTATGGTTGGTTGGATAATAAAAGAAGCAATGATTTATAACAGTTCCACAAGTATTCAATTTATTGTTAAAGTATATCTTTTATATTGACACAATAAGTTTATAAATTATCAATTTCACGGTCATACTTTCTTTCTTCAAAATAAGCAAGATTTTCATGCAGCTGATAATTGTTTCCTAGACATAACATTTTTTGAAAAGGAAAAATTTAAAAAGTTTTTAAAATTTGAATAAATTTTTTATTTTGCATAATTGATTTTAACCTGTCAATTACCTCCATAACTTCTTGATTCTTCTTCCTTTTCTTCAGCATACGATGGGAAGAATCCTTCACTGCTTGTAAAAACAGGAATCCAAAATATTAAAGAAGATAAAGCAAGGAAAATTGCAATTTTCTTATAAATCACTATTGTTATTAACATTCTAGTGAATTGCTTTTTAAGACTTGATTCAGCCCAAATGTAGTCTAAAGGCCAAGATTCAAAATAAGTTCCATTTATCTTTTTAGAGTTGGATAGTGATGAAATGCTTTGTTTGAACAGTGATGGAAAATTAAGAAGGCTTGAAATTTTGCTTAAATCAAAAAATCTACCGACGTTTGTAGATGGATTATGAGGAAGTGACTCACTGTACGAGCTGAAACCTAAAATAATCAAAAAAGCCACACACAAATTTTTCAATATCATATTTTCAGTAGAAAAATGATGTACGATATTTCAAGTGCCAAGATGAACTGAATAAAAAAATTTTGACTGTCACTTCAGCGGCAATATCGTTCATTTGATTATAAAAAGTTATTGGAACGTATCTTATACATTCGGATAGAAATTCTACATTTATGATTCACAATGCGATTTTTGTCATTTCCTCAAGTTTAATATTTTCCAACGGATTTCCTCGATATTGTAAGATTTCACAAAAAGGGATCATCTACAAATGATGTCCATCGATTAAAATGATATGACACTGCCACAATGATTCAGATTCAGAAAAAATGTTCAAAAATTCAAAAATAATATATTAATTAAACTTCATCTTTTAAATGCCAGATTAAAGATCTTAACTTAAGGCATATTCAGTGTAAATATCTCGTTTCAATTTGATGTCTTACTCCAGAAATCTTTAATTTATTTTCAACAAAAATTTGTTTACATTTTGTATATGAAAAAAAATCTTCGATTTTCTCTACTTTAAGTTGTTATTTCCATATCTTGCTAGCTGTTGTTAGCTAAATTAAGCATAGATCTGCATATTAAAACTACCAAATCAAAAAAAAACTGCTGATTAAGTCTTAAAAATGCAATTGAAATCTGAGTATTTTTACAAAACTTAAGCTATTCTATCTCCCGTATTACTGGGGACATACCGGTTGATGCCGTTTTCGAGATATTTGCGATCAAAGTCTACATAAATTTTCATACAAAATTTGATCATGCACAATATTTTTTGATAAACTTTTAAAAACTTTTGGTAAAAAAATCAAATTTATCCTTTATATTAAGGACTGATTTTTTGAGCCATGAACGAAAAAATTATGTAGAAGATGCTAAAAGAATCAAATCAAGAAATGTCGGAAAAAATATTGTGCACAAGGAATTTTTGAACATTTTTTCCTAATCTGAATCATTGTGACTGCGTGATACAACATAAATTTGTGATCAAAGGGATTCTAAAAATTCTCGTTCTATGATAGACGTTACTTGTGAACAACCCCAAATTTATTTAATTTCTTTGAGCAATGCTTGGAAATTCCACTCTTCTACAAGATCAAGAGAACTTTGTAAAACAATTGAAAATTGCTGTTAAAAACCTCACAAATCAAAAAATTTTAAACGCACATTGAAAAATCTTTTGTTTACATATTTGTGTCTTTCAAATTTTCCTTTCCTTCATCTAACATATAAACAATAATCTCTTCTCTAGCATAACTATTAAATGTGAGCGTTAAAATAGAATAGATCAAAGTTGCTCTTCTTTCATAAAGAACTGAATTTTTTTCTCTCTTTTTTCAACTTTGCTATTGTTTTGTCTTTATGAAAAATTGTTGCATGGGCTTGACTGGGAATGTTTTAAACTTATGAAACTGTAATTATTGATGAAATTTAGATTCATTTTTTTAAAACTAAAGATTGCAATATGTATGTAATATGAATTGACGTAAAGTGTTTTGTATTATTAGCAATTGATCAGAATTGACATCGAATATAGATTTTTAAGGACAAGAATGCCTAAAGATGATCATGTGATTCAGTTTATTTAGTAGCTAGCTTCAATTTGCTAATGTATCTTTCTGATTTTTCATTATGAATCTTATATAATATTTTACAGATCACAATAATTTTTCATAAAACGAGAGATTGTGACATGCCTAAATCTCACTCAAAATAATTCTCAACTCTTCACAACTGAATCTTTTGTTCTTGTACCTCAAAACTGATTTTTGTATTGAAAATTAAGGAAAAATTTAAATTTCATGGAAATTAATTTGGTACAGTCTGCATTCCAGCTACAAAAACAGATCAAAATAATGCATGAATTAACGCCATTTCGATTTTAAAAAGAAGCAAAATTAAGGAAATGTAAATTTGTATTCCGTTAATGAAAAATTCCATTGAAAAAAATCCTATTAAAAGCAATTTCCCTTTTCTTTATTAGGCAATAGATATATATTTTTTTGGGTTAACATAAGACACTATCCAGACGCCAAGTGAGAAATTTAAGTTTCACAAAAAAAATTACGATCGCGGTGAAATTCAAGACTGTAAGTAGTGAGCCTACAATTTTTTTAATATTCTGCTATCAAACGTAAACATTTAACTTTTATGATCACAAAATAGATGTGAAAAAGTCAAGATTTAATTTTATAAATTCAACTCATGAACGAGCAATTCTTGCCAATATGTTCTATTCATATCACCTACCGCAGTGAACCATAACTGACAAGCTTATTAATTTATGGCTTTCCTTCAAACTTCTTCTTCGTCTTTCCTTTTTTTTTGCAACATTCAAAAATGTTGTGACATTTAAGAAAAACCACTCAGTGTGTGATGACATTTTTACAACAACAACATTATAATGTCATGTGTGCGTCCATACTCACGACGAATTTGTGGCGCCACTAGCCACTTGACACGAAAAGGAGAGTTTTTTTCTGTAATAATGAAAATATGAAGCAGAACAGATCTAGGAAATGAAAGTATTCATCACTAGAGACAGGGACATAAAGTCAGAAATTTAAGGCATGAAGATGGTAATTTGACCACAAAAATTTGTTTCATATTTCAAGAAACTTGAATCTTTTTTTATAGCATTTTTGATAATTAAATATTTTTTTTAAATACATAATTAAATCTTTAAATCTGACTAATGTTCTGACTTTTTAAGAACGTGTAACTATCAAAAATCATAAAAAAAATTGAAATACAATAAAAAGTCTATACTCCTTTTTCATAATTTTAATGTGGACGAGCATGAGTTCAATGTGACTTACAGCGCATCTTCATGGTATCGATTTTTTAGCTTATTGATAAGTAAAGCAGTGGATTTCATATGCTGGAAATTTTTAATTATCAAGTATTAGTCAGCTTTGGAGTCAATTTTAGACATACTTTAAGGAGGGTTATGGATTATTATAAAGAAAGGAACTTAATGTTGAGGATAAATCTTAACTCTCATGAATTTTTTTATTATAATTGAAGAATGACATTCGAAGCGAGTGATCATAAGTTCTCCCATTCCAGCCACAAGTCTAAAATAATAAAAAGTCGATCAAAGCCTTCTCCTAACCGAGCTCAGTCTCAAGATTTCAAAATAAAAGCTAATTTAATGCCACATGTGTAAGGAGATATATTTTTTTAAAAAAGAAAAATATTCAATATCGTACTGATACTAAGCAATGCACATACTGGTCGGGCGATTTTATTTGAACACTTTTTTCATGTTTTTTGAAACTAATTTGAAAGAATGAAAACATTGTGTGTTGCTTTATACTTTAAAGAAGCAGAAGTTTTTTTTCTGTTTTGGGTGGTCTCAGAGTGTGCATCACTCGATGTCGACCAGAAGCAAGAGCAAGCAAGAAAATATTTGAATATTGTTATAAATTATCTATTTCGACAATTCAACATTCATGTGTTCAAGGGTCATATATAGAGCAATCATCATCCATCGCTAGACATTCCTTTTGTTTATTGTTCTAATAGATGAAAAACAAAAAGGAATGTTAAAAGCAACATGGAAGCAATAAAATAGTTTTTTTAAGGCAATAAAAAGTGAACTTTATCACCACATTGCACCAAATGAATATTAATATTGCCCATAATGTTATGAAAACTGAGACGTATTTTCATCGGCAGTTTCTTATTCCTCAAACTTATTTATTTTTACAGAAAGGATCATGAATTGCTGGGCGCGATAATCTTGAATTTGTTTCCCTTCTGTTGCATGTAAACTCAACAAGTTTTTATGATGAAAAGATGATGTCTTTCTGTGTGCTTTTGTTTATTGTTACTGAAGTATTAAGAACAAATAAACACGCATAGATATTTTTTCTTCAAGGAACTTTGATATCATGCATACGGATTTCAGTCTCGATCTTTTTCATTTGTAATTGTTGATCCCACCTATTGATGCATGCACTGAAACGGAAAGTTTTAAATGTTGTTAACTGATTTCAACCTTATTCTACATGATCAACAACCTAAATCATTAACATTACATAATATTCAAGTCTAAAAATTCAAATAAGTTGGATTCATTGAACGCGAAAAAGAGATGATCTTTGACAATGCAGTTGGATTTCTTTAGCTTTGCTATTTGATAAAAACGTTTCCATACTCATAACTGCTCATACCTTGAACTCGATTTTAAAGCTTATATACTTATGATATGCTTTATTTACAGTAATAACCTTTCGATCCAACTGTTTCAGATTCAGATTGTTTCATCGAGCATCAAAAAATAACAAAAACTGTATGAATGAACTAGATACATTGTATAGTCTATCTATATGTATAATTATTGTGATAACAAATCGCATCATTTATTTACTCAATTTGCAATTCGAAATATTTTAAATATTTATAAGTTGATCATCATCATCATCTGTATGGGATTTTGTTTGAGAATTGAAAAATTTGTTTACGGAATCCCCTTTTTAATGTAAATTTGCCTACAATTTAGTAAACATTAATACATAGTGAAAAAAAATCCTCCAGACCATGCGAATGAAATTCAAACTTAGTTACTTTGACCATCGGAATCCCCCCAAGGCACTCAACAGCTGATCATGTTTCATTGCCTCAAATCTATAAATTCACTTGATTTGAGAATGTTTGATAATAACAATAATATTTAGAAAAGCGGCATTTTTTGTAAATATTTTGGTGATATAAAATCTTCTTGCCATTCTTTTTTGCAATTATAGACTTAATCGAGTTATGGTAGGTCACATCTAAATGTGACATGATGAAAGATTGAAATGGAATTTATTGAGCTAATATTGCAGACAATTTGTATTTAAAATGAGAAATGACTGCATTCATGCAGCACAATTAATCTTATTCTCAGAGCATCATTTTATATTTATTTTTATTATTATGAAATCTCATAACTTACAATGTAAACATAAGACATTCATATACAAAGATCGTTGCATATGAAAATGACGAGAAATTGTGTCAAATTACAAATGGATAATGTTAATTTAATGGCATGAGAATATAGAATGTCTTGGTGGCATTAAAATGACAATTTTGCGCGTAAATGCGAGATCATTTCTTTATTGGAAAGTCTTGTTGATATCTTTAACACTTTACAGTTTGTTCAGTTTAATTTTGATTCACAGGATTTGCTAATTCCTAATTCTGATAAAGTCTCAAGAGTTTATTTTTTACAATTCTCCCTTAAAATATTAAGACTTAGAACGTTTAACATTTTATGATGCCCAAGAGGAGGAGCACTACAGAAAAGCGAGATATTTTGTATTAAAATATTGTCGAATTCACAAAAAAAGATTAAAGTTTAACACGATATCCCAGAGTTCAGATACTAAAGGATGTTGAAGTTAATTCAAGTATATGTAGATATCTCTTAAAGCTTGATAAACCCAGCGTTTGATTAAAATCTAGGACCCCAAAAGTATCACAATCCAATGACAAGAATCCTACCTTTTCAGATATTGCTTAATATAATTTTGAGTGCTTTCAAAAAAAAAACATCACAGATGAAAACTGTCTTACAATGATGTCAAGAAAATATTTTTAGCTGAGTAAAGACGCTCCGCCCACAAAAGTTCTCATCCTCAAAAGAATTCCTCATCACACACAATGTGTGGACTGATTTTTGATATTTTTTTTTGATAAATTAAGAAGTAATTTCTATGGCAAAATTAGCATCTTAATAATGTTGACGTCATGCTGTAATCATGTGGAAATTTTTTAGACCCGACTCGAATTATTTTGAGAAGATTTTCAGTGATTTTCAGCTCAAGATAAAAAAGAAAAAAAAAGTTTCTTCAATTATGTAAACAAAACTTCCGATCGTAAAAATTATCCGTGAAGGTAATCAATTTATATCTGTGTTAATACTTGAAAAATTCTTTCACTTAGCATTTTTTTTTGTTCATACAAAGCTGACCGAAATAAGAGCGAGAGAAAATAAGAGGAAAAAAACGACATGAAAGATCAAAGGAATGAAGGAAAACCATGCCCATAAGCTTTGCGCAGTTCACAAATACATGCACAGATCTCGTTCGAAGACGTGCGATCATCCATGAAATTATCCAATTAGTATTCAGTATTCGGGAGCTACTTGACGGGATAAGACGAGAAAATTTTAAGATCTCGATAAAAAAAAATAAGAAGCTTAGTGTGAAAAAATACTTATAGTACGTGTGTGGACATTAAGAAGTTTACATTAATGAATAAATAAATAAATATTGAAACTAATCAGTGGTTCAAGTGGCTTAGAGATTTTTATAAATAAATAATATTGGATATAAAATTATTATTATTAGTGAATTGATTTTTAAGAAATGGACAGTCGAACTCAGCATTCACCCTCACCTGCTGTCTATCCACATATTTATGGAAGTCCAACAAACCTTCAAATGATTTCTTCCTCATCGTCAATTCCAACAAATATGTCAGATGATGGAAATCGTACTATTATTACGACAATTGGAACTGACATCGTTGTTGAACCAAAATCAGAAGTGGAAGAAAAACCTGCAGTTTATCATATAACTGAAATAAGTGATGATCGTGTTCACTACCCACCGCATCCAATGATTGATGATCGACATTCTCCAATATATTCTCATCATCTTTCAGCACCATATCACTTTCCCCCTCCACCAACTCACAGAATATCTGTCGATGATAAACTTTCAAATCCTCACTACATCAATCGACATCATCCTTATTCTGTTGGAATTTTGGCATCATCGTCAGCACATACAAATCCTGAAAATATACCAACATCCGTTTCATATCATTACTCGATGCCTCCACATTTGACTCATTTGGAAGCTCCAATTAATTCTTTGAAACTCTCATCACCATCGCATTCAAATTTATCATCATCGACCTCTCCGTCATGTCCACCAATGATGAATCGCTATGGATTAACATCAACTCCAAATATTAAATATTGTACAAATGGAACCATGCTGGATTATGTCGAGAACGATAATATGGTAATGAGAGATAACCATAGTAATATGTCATCGCCAATACCTTCAATTTCAGTGCCAATTTCATCGGCCGTAAGTTGCATTACCACAACTTCAAGTTTGAATTGTGACATGAAAATTGGCACATCCGGCGGATCTGTCGTGTCATACAATAATAATAATGTCGGTGAAAATGAATCAATTATTTGCAAAAATACTTCCGGCGCATCCTCATCATCGTCGTCTTCAAATGTTGATCATCAGTTGAGCAGTACAACTTCAGAACCAACAGTGAAAAAGACGGGTGGAAGAAAACCAGAAAAGCCGGCGATGAGCTATATAAATATGATTGTGATGGCAATAAAGGATTCACCGCAGAAACGAAGAACTTTAAGTGAAATTTATAAATATTTACAATCAAAGTAAGTGAACAGTTCTTAATATTTTGGATGTATGTGCATTTGATTTAAAACTTAAAATGTTTACGGTGATCGTAGTTTGAGAAAAATGTCGGAATCAGATGTTACTATTTTGAGTAATTTTTACAAGTATCTCTAATCGAAATTAAGCTTGCTTCATTTAAACTGTCATAAAATCTCAAACTGACCCCCCCCCATCACTATTCATCTCATCCACATAAAAGTAACGATATGAATTCAAAAATATTAATTAAATCCTTATGTATATAATAAAATCTAGTGCCAAAAATATCATCCAAAAAAATTAACATAAAGTTTCACTTCCAGATACTCATTTTTCAACGGTGAATACAATGGATGGAAAAATTCGGTCAGACATAACCTCAGTCTTAATGAATGTTTTAAAAAGTTACCAAAAGAATGTGGAAAACCAGGAAAAGGACATTACTGGACAATTGATGCTAGTGCTGAATACATGTTTGAGGATGAAGGTAGTTTACGTCGACGACCAAGAGGATTTAGAAGGAAGCAACAAATGAAAAGTTTCTCAAATTCTTCATCTTTCTACCCACCATCAAGTTACGATTCAGCGCAATTAAATGTTGCTGATATTCCAAATTGCTACCCATCGTCATATCCAAGCTATTCACATGAGTATTCAGCTGGAAGTGTGCAGTCAGCTCCACCATCATTCTCAGAAGCTCCATGGCAATATCAGTCATCAGAATATGTTCGGAATCCCTCACCACCTCAAAGTAATGTTCTTGAGTATGCCAACAGCTATCAAACCTATCAAGCATATGAAAATGGAGGTAATTATTTGTCTCAATGACCTAGTTTGTTAAATTTAAAAGATTTTCGAAGAATTTTCTATCCTCAAAAAATTTAAATGATCGCATGCTTTCATCAATCAGCAATTCTCAATTCATAAGAGTTCTTAAATATGTGAGAGAAAGTATTAAAGATAAAAAAATATAAGAACCACTTGAAACAAGCTATATAATTTATGATCTCACTAATGAAAGTATGCTGATGTGACGACAGCGAGAAGAGATTCTTCCTTATTTATGCTTTATTTAAAAAATAAATTTTATTTTTTTTTCTTCTTTCTTAAACATATTCTAGGCTTAAAAATGAGTCAGATGACACAACAGCATCCTCAGCAACAAAACATGATTTCAAGTGCCAGTCCCACAAATACAACCGTGTTGATGTCAAATGACTGCAAATCATCAATAGCACATCATACAAATTCAAGTCCATATCCGCATGTTGTTACTCCTCCGCCATCCAATAGCACTTCAAACTATTATAGTGAACATACAAAATATTCAAACTGACTGACTTGATGAAATGATGAAGGCAAGACGAAATATATTTTTTTGTCTCAGTGGAAAAAAAAAGAGTGAGGAGGAATTATCCTCATAATGATCATCAATATGCTTCCAAAGAATATAAAAATTTAATATTATTGTAGAGAAAACAGTTGAAAACTGACGTTAACCTTAAGATGGATAGTCTGTTTTATCATAATTTTTTAAAACATGTGAGCGCGCTCATGGGGGCTGTTCACTTGTTACGTAACTCTCTTCCTCCTGTGTCTCAAAATAGTAATGTAGATAATTTTCTTTTGTTTGAGGCATTTAGGGGTAAATGACATGACTTTAGACACACTCCAAGTCAAGAATCCGACTTAAAATGATCATAAATGATCCAAATCCAAAGCTAATCTATCAGTGATTGAGAAAAAATAGGAGAACTGTCTTTAAATATCCCTATAATCCCATCTTTGTCTACGTATCTGCTAGATCATTACTCCCTCCGTATGTCCATATCCCCCCTCAAATTGCGACCGTAATAAGTGAATGACCCCCATAGAGTTATAAAAGAAAGAAAAAAATATTTAAGGAAATTTCATTGAAAGAAAAGAATGAAAAATCTCACAATCATCATTTTCACGAGATTTTCTCTCTATCTCCATTCTTTTCTCATTCGAAAGAAAAACCATAAATTAAAATAAAGAATCGTAAAATTAGTAGAATATGATGGTAATAATAATGTAAATATTTATATTAAAATGATGCTAGAAATCAAATGTAAACAAAATGTTTTCTGAACTTTTTTACAATACATTCATTTTTTTTATTTTTAAAAATCTGTGCAAGAAATTGTTCTAAAAATAAAGTGCCAAAGAAGAAGAGAAAGGGCATGGGTCTGTTAATGTCCAAAATATATTTTTTGTAATAAAAAAATAAGAATTTAATTAAAATAGGTGAAAATACAAACATTTCTTTTTGAGTTACTTCTGGCATTTCTTTGAGAAAATAAAATCTGTTTAGATTTTGTGTGCCAATAGACCTTTGTCAGCTCCTTCAAATATTATCAACACACATTTCCAACTGAATCAAATCATTCACTGTTTGTCTCCTTCTGATAAGCTTAATCTCATCATCGATAAACAGCACTTCAGGCAATAATGGTCGTGAGTTGTAATTAGACGACATTGATGCACCATAAGCACCTACATCGTGAAACACAAGATAATCTCCAACATACATTTTCGGTAACAATCGTGTTATCACAATGCCTCCTTCAACTTGTGTAAAAACATCACCTGATTCACACAAGTGTCCAGCGATAACAACTTCTTCCACTTCACGATTAGTTGTATCTCCTAGAACTGTAATGTGATGATAACTGCCATACATTGTTGGTCTCATGAGGTCATTGAATCCTGCATTTACTAAAACATATTTTTTACTTCCCATTGTTTTCACAGCATGAACTTTGCAAACAAGAATTCCAGACTCGGCAACAAGAAAACGTCCAGGTTCAACTTCTAGAGTGATTGAATGTCCAAAATGTTTTTCGATTTTCTTTCGAGCTGCATCCCATAATGAGAAGTAATTGTCAACATCAACACCTATTTCGTTCTCTTTATAAGCAATTGGAATCCCTCCACCAGTTGATATAGCTTCTATATCTTGATTACATGCTATAACATGATCAGCCATTGCATCACTAACTCGATCGAAATTTTTTGAAAACAGTCCAGATCCAATATGCATATGGAATCCAATAAGCTTTAGATTATTTTCCTTAATTACATTTATTGCTTCTGGAAGATCTTCAAACCATATTCCATGCTTACTATTTTCACCTCCTGTATTTGTCTTTTTACTATGTCCATCACCAAATCCTGGATTAATTCTTATCCATATTGGATGATTGATAGCATTACGACGACCTAATTCCCTCAACATATCAATTGAACCTGCATTGACTGGAATATTCATTTCGAGGACACGCTCGCACGTTTCATTATCAATTATATCAGCAGTATAAACAATTTCATTTTCTCTTGTTCCAGGCACAAATCCAGACTGCAGTGCACGCTCAATTTCTCCAAATGACACAGAATCAATTTTTGTTCCACATTCTTTCACTAATTTTAAAATGTTTATGTTTGAGCATGCTTTTTGAGCATATCGAATGACATCAAAATTTCTCAGTTTATTAATTTGATCCTTAATTATGTTTCCATCGTATGCCCAAAACGGAGAGTTTAATTTCTCAGACAGTTCTATCAACTTTGATTCTGTGATAACTTTTGATCTTGGAAATTTTGACATTTTAGAGAAATTTTATTCTACTTTGTTCCTGCTCAATAATCGGACGACGACTAAAATGAAAACATTTATTCGAATGAACTCACACAATGGCACTGTATTTAATTGAGTGCTGAAAAGGCACTAGAGTGTATATACTTATCGATAAGAATACAATTGCTGCAACTTTATTATTAAAATTGATCTAGCTCCACATCCATACTTACTCTAATCGTTATTAAACTTTACGCGTATAAATTAATCTCTTAACATAAGATTCCATTCAAAAACACTGTCCTCTGGTGCCATAGCGAACAATATGTTTCATTGGCTGCCTGACTATAAAGTTGCTACGGGTTAATGTTAATCTGAGAAGCTAATAAATATAAAATATCAAGTGAGTTTTAATCATCAAAGCATTAAGTCACATTTTATTGCTCAAAAAATGAAATTATTCAACAGGTGGATATGGTGGGTCATCAGGTGATGGCTCAACACCGAAACAAGCAAGGAAATCATTATAAAATTGCTGAGCATCTTCATCATTGGTGATTGTTCTCAAGTCACTAGCCAAACGAGCAGCTTCAATCAATACTTGAGCTCTCCATGTAATCATGCAAGCATCTCGAAGACGATCGTTTGTCATTTCTTGACATCTTCTACGTCCATTGACAAGATCTTCAACTGTAAATCTCAATTCAATTAACCATTCAGCACCACCTTGAATTCTGTCTAATCCTAGTTCATCTGCTGCATTCATAACACAATCCATGATCGATGTGTCATCTCCTTCTAGGGGTTCTTGTACAGAATACTAAGCAAATGAAGTAAAATTTATCTAAAATCTGTTTGAAGCTAAATCAGTAAAAAAAAATAAGTACCTGTACGCCACAAAGAATTACTATAACAAGGAATAGAAGTTTCATTTTGCAAAAAAAATGGAATTACAACTGAATCAGCACAGGCATTTCTATCCAAATATAAAGGAAATTTCTTATCAATGGCTAGTTATTGATAAGATTATTGAGGAATTAAGGGGATTCTATTTATGAACTTTTATCTTTGGTAAATTCTCCAATTGAATTTTATCAAGGATTATTAAATTATGAGCTTTCCTTCGTTTCGTGTAATTGTACGAAATTTCTTATCATTTTCTCAATCAACAAGCTTTAGTGTATAGTCAATGAAAACAGTGTTATCAATTTTTGCCATTTTTAAAATCTTTCAAAGCAATTTGGAGTCAACGAAGCATTTCAACGTGTCAGTATCTTTTGAATGATCTACTCTCTGAAAAATGAAATTTACCTTTTTGGCAAATTTGAACATTTTATTCAACTAATGTCATGTGGTTTTTTTCTCAAAGAACATCCAATCACTAAATTAAATTAACGGACATAAAAGATTCAAAGCAGTTCTCTCTAATAATTGCAGCGCTATCTATGTGTCAAGCTAGAAAATCTGAGGATTAGATTGAAAATTTAAAAAAATATCTTCTAAAACTGCTCATATAACCACGTGACCCAACAGTTTTAATGATGCATCACATCTTCAGTTAAATAGTGACTAAATCTGTTAATATGCAAGAAAGAAGAAAAGTGCCGACAATTCCGGTTAGGAGGAGAAGTAAAGCATAGAAATATATGAAAATTTGAAAAAGTCCTTAACACACCAACTCATTAGGCTGTTGAACAAATGATTAATGTCTATTTCAGTCAAATATTTGGTATTTTTAAAAAATATTCATATCATCATAAATGGAGAAAAAGATCCTTATGTCGGGTATGGAAACTTCCTGTGGTTTTATTAGACATTCTGTCTCCGACAATTTTCAGTTTTGTGGACATACATTTGACTTAGGGTTCCAAAGTATTTATTTGGATAAAATATTGGGTAAATATTGTGAATTTATTATTTCAAACTATTAAGAACAAAATCAAGAAATCTTGAAGTATTTCACTATTAATTGCAAGGTGGTTTGATACATTCCTGGGTTGTCAATTCACTTTCAGACTGTGTTGTTCCTGAGGCTGTCGTTAATTCTGTTTCAGACTGTGTAGTTACCGGGGTAGTCGTTGGCTCTGTTTCCGATTGTGTTGGCATTGGAGTAGTCGATTCAAATTGTGATGAACTGGATGTAGTGGAATCTGTTTGTGCTGAATTTGTTGTGGTCGATTCAGTTTGAATTGGGATAAGAGTGGTCGATTGCGTGGAGGTTGAAGTCGTTATTGGTGCTAAAGTAGATTGAACTACACACCTATCCTTGACAAAAACATATCCTGGAAAACAATTTCCTTGTCTCATAACCAACTGACTGTTGGAATTATAATAACATTCAAAGTATTTTGCGGAATCGTCATGATTAGCAAAAAGCCCTGGAGATGTACATTTAAAGTTACACGTCACAGGAATTTTTGATAAATCTGCAACATATCCATCTTGGCATTTAAAAACTATTGGTTTGCTGCTTGGAATGCAAAGTGCCACATATTGTCGATTGTATGGGAAAAATGGATATAAAAATAAAACATTTTTCATTTGATTTGAATTTCCACATTTTGGCAAAGTGCAATAAAAGTTATTCGTATATTTGCAGTAATTTGTTGTTGCTGCATCTGGATCAAAGACATAGCGATCCTGACATGAGTACGATTGGCTCACTAAGTTATTATTTACGTTTTGACAAAAATGGAATTTTTTGCAGTCAAGAGGATCTGGGTAAATTCCTTCTCCGGTGCAAGAAAAGTCTGAACCACATGATTCTGCAATGAGATTGATATAAGCTTAAAAATTGCTTTGAATATAGAAGCCCATGGTATCATACCTACGCATTGAGCGTTTCCAGGAGTTGCTTCATTACAATATGGATACTGAGCACTACAATTAACAGAAACTCCAAAATTTGGACCGAGACAAAGCTATTAATAAATAAAATGTAAAGTAATTTGATTGAATTTTTGAGAGAAGCTTGATTAGACAACTTACAATCAATTCATTACTTCCACATCCGTCACTTGCACAAAACGTGTTTGACGCTGTCGATGAAGTACAAACTGTAGACACTGAAGCTCTACTGTCTCTTAAATATTGGAATTCTCCATGCACACTGATGATTAAAATGATCTACGAAACAATTCAATTGAATAATTTTAGAAATAATGTTGTTAAGTTCCAAAAGTAACATTGTCAGGAACAGTGTTGCATTCTGGCAATTTGCCTAGATCAGATAAATTCTGAGACAGAAATTTCTTCATAAAGATCGATTCTACATGAAGATAGAAAATCTAATCTACACAAAGATTATTTCTACATAAAGAATCTGTCTACATGAAGATTCGATGTAGATGTCTACAATTCTACATTCTTCTCTGATGTAGACCTAGAAAAAATGTAGAATTGTAGACATCTACATCGAATCTTTATGTAGACAGATTCTTTAAGTAGAAATAATCTTTGTGTTGATTAGATTTTCTATCTTCATATAGAATCGATCTTTATGAAGAAAGTTTCTTAGCTAGACAAAAACTATTGAAGAATCTACATTCTTCATCTAGTGTAGACATCTACATTTGCAACACTGGTCAGGAATATGAGAACTTCACTGGTAAATAGTTGAAGCTGATCAAAACTTTTGATGAATTTTGTTTTCTTCAATAGTTTAATTTTTTACGCACCAAAAAAATTAAGCACCTCATAGTTCTATAACTGTCGCTATAAATGATTCAAATTGACTTAATTTTATCCACAGTAAATGCTGCTTATAAAGCTTTCTTTATTTGCAATAATTTTAAAAATTTGCTTACTCAATGATAAATTATCGAGTGTTTTAAGACTGATAAGCTTTAATTGATTTCCAAGAAAATGCTTTGTTATTTCATCAAGATTGATTTTTTATTGCAAATAATTTTTCTATTCATAAAATATTTTACAGACAGTGCAGTAAAATGTGCAAGGATTTTATTTTCAAGTTTAAACAATTTTACAAGGTTGGTCTTACTGAAAACTATGAATCATTGTCACCATTTTCGTTTAGAATATTGGAAATTGCAGCATTCATAGTTCTCAATTCAACCTTACATTGAGAAACTGTGGCATCAAAAGTTGAACCTGATGGACATCTCCGTTCAATACTCTCGAGTCTCAAGTTATTCCAATAGCATTCAAAGTATTTCGATTTGTCCAAATTATTCTGGAAGAATCCAGCTCGCCAGCATGTGTACGAACATTTTGGAGGATTTGTGTTAAGTTTTGGAAGTGAATTAGTTGGACAGACGAAAACATAGACAATTGGAGTTGGGAGAGTTGCATCAGGAGCACATAATGCATAATATTGCTTGTTGAATCCATATTGAAGTTGGATATATTTTGATGAATTAGTTCTTCCACAGTCGGCCGTTATGCAGTTATTAATTATGATATTTTTTCGAGTACAGTATGTTGCAGAGCTTGGAGAAAAAACATTCCCACTTGGGCAATTGTAAAGAGTTGCTACAAATTGAGTTTTGTCGCTATTTAATGAACAGAAGTAGTATGAAGTACAGTCATAAGGATTTGGATAATATCCTAGACCAGTGCAAGTAAAATCTGGATTGTTGTTATTGCTATTAGTACTTCCACAAGATTCAGCGCAATAATCCCCATCATCACTTATTTGACACAATGAATTAGAGCCACACGAGTAAGTTATTGCTTGAGAAGCTTGACTGCCAGCGCAATACTAAATAAATTAAACATGAAGGTAAGAACATTCATTTGTTTTCAAAAGCTTTACTTACAATAACTTCTGTGCCAGTGCAAGTGACATTATCACTGCAAAAATAATCTTTAGTTCTGGTATCAGTGCAGACTTCTGTTGGTGTTACATCTAAAGATTCTATTTTGATAAGAATGCATGATAACTGAAAAAATTATAAATTAGTGTTAATTGTCTGAGTTAAGTTTTGAATTAATTAGATTATAAACTAATCATATGCTTCGAAAGATTTAAATTTTACATTCTCATTATGAGTATGTAGGCAGCAGGTTCACATGAAATGATTTTTGTTTTGGTCCTGATTGATACGTTTGACTCAGTAGGAGTTTAACTTGCATTCTTAAAAATAATATAGGTTTTCATTCTATGCCTTAATAATGGTCCACAAAGGTCTTAATTTTGGACTAGTAGATTCGGTTACAAATAGGTCACTTAGCTCAGCTTTACTCTTACACCAAGATTAGCCGAATAACTTCAGTTGATATCCAAAAATACTTTAAAACTTCATACTTTTAAAAACCAACGAATAAAAAATCATCACTTACAGCAAAAGTTATTAAATTAATTCGCTTCATTTCTCTCTTCTTAACTTCTTTAGATTTTAATTTCAAGACTAAATGAAAATTCATAGAGCTGTGAATAATTTATACTAAATAATCTTAGTGTAGAATGAATTATTAATGAGACAATAAGGAAATCATGCGATAAGACGAGTAGCAATAAGCTCATACTATATTTAAATAAGATAAGATAGAAAAATAAAGGATTAAAGATGAATTTAATTCAGTGGAAATTATACTAGTTGATTGTTAATTACCAAGGTTGGTAGGTAGTAAATTGAGCAATAAAATGAATTAATTCCAATTATAAAGATTTCGGCCCACGACAACAATTTTCATGAATGAATTGACTTGATTGGAGGTAGAATTTACAAGAGTCACGCTGAACGAGATGATTTTTTGGGGCTAGTCAATGAGAATAGGAAATTTATATCACATCAAGTGCCTCTTTAGAGCATGACATTTCAAAATTCTTATTTTCTTTCAAAAAATTCGAATATTGACTAATGCAGCATGCTTAAAAATGAAAGAATAAACGAAGAAAAGAGAATTATGAAAAAATAATTCCAATATTTCGAAAATTCTCACGCCTTCCGGTTTGCTTGCTAAAAATCACAAAAGTGACATAAATTATTCATATTTTCTTCTTGTTTTGATGGAAATAATTCTAAGCACTTCCAGATTTTTTTCTCATTTCTTTTCTTCACTTACCATAAGTAAGGATAAAGGATGAAGATGGGGGATTAACTCTAGCATTTTTGCATCCATCAATATAATCATCATCATTATTGCTATTATCACATCTTCCTTGTCTTCTTTCTTCTGTAATTATGCATATTATTTTGTGTGGCCTAATATAGCTCCTTCCTATGTTCCTAGTTGTGAATGATTTTTTTTGCAAATACGATAATAATGCAAATTTTTAATAAATCCAGTTGGAATTTTATAAATGAGTCTACGTATGGACTTAATTCAGTAATCTTAAAATTTAGGTACAGCATCTGTGGTTTCATAGCAGAATGAAATTTAGGATTTCGAACCATATGTAGGTAAATATGCAACTGTGATGGAAAGAACTCAATTACTGAGTAATTAAGAAACAGATAACAACATGAATATAATTAATTCTATTATGTGAGAATATGAGTTCGATTCCCATGACCCTGTATTCATACAATTATCATTACAGCATCGATTCTTATTGAAAAACAGCTAAAAAAGATACAGTTGAACTGAAAATTTAAGTAAACGCTAATCTTAATTGCTAGTACTGCCCAGGTGCTACCCATACTTTATAATCCAAGTCTATTAATACGAATATCTCAAAATTATTCAAAAGTTTTAATTACAATGTATCGACAAAGGTTGAAAACTCTTTGAAAATATTCAAAAGTCAGTAGTTTACTTTCACACTCCTAGGTTTGAGTTTAGAACCTAAAGTTATGTTAAATCCTAAAGACACCAAAAAATGCAATACCACATCATAGTTTCATCTGAGCCCACCCCTAAGACACCACTCAAATAAGAATCTTAACAAAAAATTCTTAAAAATTGAGAGACTTGATATAAAATAACGGATGTACTTAAAAAGTCCATATCGACATGGAGTTCCAAAAAATCGTTTTTTCTTAAAAATCTCTTTTTTATTCAACTCACGCAATTAAGTAAACATTTCAATGAAATAAATTTGCTTCGGTATTAACCATTGGGGAGGATTAAGAGAATGGAGATGAATAAATTTTTATAAAATAAAAATCACTATGATGATTGATGATTTGATAATAAAGCAGGTTTTTATCGCTCTTATAATAACATAATTGAGTGTATATATACTTAAACAAACAACAAGTCAAATAAAGTAGATGAGATGGAGATATTTCATGATGACACGAATTAATTTCTTTTTCATCTCTCGATGAGCGTGAAATTTTTTTCAGCTTCTCCACTTCACTCCGTCATACGAAAGATATTCTTTTTTTTGTGGATGTGTACGTATATACATTTCATATTTTTAATTTAAAAAAATCTTAGGTAAACAATAATTAATAAAGCAGGCAAATGACTTTAGAGATTTTCTTTTCTTCTCAATCTCTCTGTCTATTCATGTCTGAGCCTTAAGCAGCAAGAATTAAGCTAAGTGCTTCGAATAAGTTTCTTCAATTTTTTTTTTTTTGGAGATTGTGTAAATAAAAGAAATAAGAAGAGACTGTATCATTTACATATAATTTTGAGTATGGAGGGTGTTTATAAGTTATGGTCGATTTTGAGTGTAATACTAATAAGACTCATATATCTCGACTTAGTTTTTGAATCATTTATAATATTATATACACATATTGGACACATTGAAAACACATTCAGAGTTGGCACTGTAGATCTTCTTTTAACTGCCATATGTGTATACAAATGTAAAATAAGTCGGGTTCGAGGGTTTGATGGGAATAAAACCCACGATCTCAAAAGAGGCGATCTCTGACCACTCGATCATAGATCCCTGCTACTCGATCAGCCGAGGTACTTATCTCACTTCGGCTATCTGTCATACACATACTACCAGTTTCACTGCGAACCCTTTGCTCAGGCCTTTCTACAACAGATATGCTCTTTGAGTCATATCTACAGGCACTCGCCTTGCTACTAAGACCTTTACTTTATTTTACTTAAAAACTAGCTTCTGTCGTTGTAAGGTTCTCAACTACAAACAACGTTATCAGAAATCTTGATAAAAAAATTATTTTTAGCATTCAGACCTTAAGATCCATAACCTCCCGCTCAAGCCTAGACCTACAGCTTATAGCGGGATCCGAACCACTCTTCTGATGACATTTCTGCCTGTAGCATACAAACGAACAAAGCAAACTCCAAGAAGGGTAGCCAGAGGTCATACCTTTCATGTCCTTAATTGCCCCCAGATGCTTCCCCATATTCCAACTCAGCCACAAACTCACTGTTTACTCAATGATGATTTTATTTTATTTTATTTTTTCTTGAAGAAATATGAAATTATCTCCAAGTATTTCTCTTGAACACTACCTGAAATCATATGACACATGATGATCTCTTGAGAATAATTCGATTTCCATAAAAGATCAAACTTAATTTATGTGCAGAAACGTGTCGATTTGAGTATTTAAAGATACACACAAATGTAAAGGATTCAAAAATATTTTCATTCATCCTATTTAAGCCTAAGCGATGTGAAAATTCTTGTGGATTAACAAATATTTTGTGATTAACATCACATACACTTTCTTTTATATACTTCTTAAAAATTGTAAGCAAGTATAGATGTCATGAAGAATTTATTGAGATTCATGTAAGATGAAAAACAAACAACGCTGCTGCATAGCTGACTTTAGATTGGAATGCAACTTGAATTAATAGATTTAAATTCACGTGATAGTAGAAACAAGACAAATAAGCAGCTAAAATGCAAACTTCACCCGCAAGTGGCAGTTAATAATAAAAACAATAAGAAAGAAGGAAGGAAGAAGAAGAAACTCGCGAGATAAATAAAGATAAATGGGTAATATGAATAGCTTTAAAAAATATTTACTAAATAAACATTCATTTACGAGGAAAACTCATAAAAAAACTGATACACATAGTATATAGATAGATAGATAGATAGATAGATGGATAGATAAATGAACGACTAATGAGAAGATTTAGAAATATTTACCAAGAAAAAATTAACAGCTTCAAGTGAATAATCAAAATTCTCTTTGAAATCACTTTTTGATTGTTTAATGTTTCGTATGCTCTATGAAATATCCTTCATGCTAGGAGATAGATTCACACATATAAGCTATAACTTGTACGTAAACATTTTGGAATCAACTGTCTGGTTTTGAAGATGGACTTAGATAAGTTCATTGAAAATTACTATTATGTTAAGATAGTAAGAGTGCATTTATGGATGTGATTTGTTGAGCACAGTCTGAGACAGACTTTTTGTCGTTTTCAACTAAGGGGACGATATAAACGTAGGTTCATCCTCCTATGCATCAATATAACACACTTAGATGATATTCAAACGAAAGAAATTATAAATTGATTCACTGGATTTCGAGTGAGACTTGATTCCACGTCCTCCGATTTTATTAAACCAACTCCACAAAGGTTTAAAATCCAACAACAGAACAAACTGCTCACAAAAAAGCAAATGCAAACAAAATCTTGTTGCTTCACCGTCTACAAAAACAAATTTTGAGTAAATCAAATGCAGCCACTGAGTCTAACATTTCAATCACTTTTTTCACTTTGATTCTTATTCGTACACTCAAGAATGATTTTCCAATAAAAAGATTATGCGTCGCATAAACATAAACAACCAGAATTCTGAAAAATCATTAAAGTTGAATTTCATTGCGCATAAAGTTTATAAATATGGTGCACACATATATGCAATGAGTATGGAACGATTCTCATGATTAACTCATCTTCGCCTTTAATGTGTTGATGAGTTTTCAGTCTCTTTCATCTCTTTCGCTTTTGATCTACTGTGTGAATTGAGAGGGTTTTTCCTTCTTTATAACCGCAATCTTATAAGATCGTGTTGAAATGAGGCTGAAAGATGTCATTTCCGTTTATAGTATTCGCAATGATTCCGCGGACTTTATTTTAACTTACCGACGGCGCTTAGTTTCTACTAAAATAATAAATTCAGATTTTTTAACACTTCTTTCTTTTGAACATACTTTGTGTGATGTACATCAACATTCATTCATTCATTCGCAAATAAAGAAGCCGATGCTACGCAGATGATGAAGAGTGAAATAAAATATGATAAAAACTAGTGTATCGGGTAGAAACCCAATGTGGATATAGTCACACCGTACCATCAAAAGTCTTATGGGTAGATCAAGATTTGCTCAGCACAAGTTTGAAGGGTGGGCGTGAAGTATGGCCGAGACCCATATCGACACAGTTCAAAAGTTATACCTAATTTTTGTCATAATTATGTCAGCTACAAAAACACATAGTTTGAATTTTGTCACCTCCGGGAACACTATGAACCAGTATAGCTGATTTTGGTCCAAATCTCGGCCATACTTCACACTTATTTAAACCACATTTTCTCGTAAATGTTAAAATATTATTAAAAAGTAATTAATCCTGAATTATGTCGCCATTTTGTCAGGTGTTTTAAGA